GTATCCAGATACAGTTACTGTACTGCTTATTTCTCTGTTTTCCATTCTGATGTGATGGAATGTGTTTGGATGAATGTGGGTGGGTTTAGATGTGGGAACGTTGCTTCAATCTTATGAATGCTGAAAAATAAAGCTTGCTGTTCAATCCAATTAAAAAAAGAATTTGTTATGCAAGGATTTTCTAATAATGCATTATTAAAATGTTCAATTTCCTTGACTCAAAGAGCACTGAATCATAGTTCTTTATTTTTGTCTTGAGAAATGGTTTTGCCAAATTCATCAATGCTGAGTTTCCTTATTACATCCAATAAAAAAGAAAACATATTGCAACTCATGAATCTTTGATATACTGTACAAAGGAATAATGACTTTTTTCAATCCAAATTTTCTTGAAACAGGACAGACTTTGGAGAAAGACCAGATCAAACACAAAATCTACAACCTGTAAAGGTGTGGATGCCAACAGGAACTTCCCATTCCACTGGAAGGGTAAATTACTTTTTGGCCATACATTCTTTTCATCACTGTGTTGTCAAATTTTTAAATCTGCAGAGGGCAGGGAGAATAATGCTGTACCCTGTGAAGAAATCTACCCAGGGGACACAGCAGAGTCAGAACCCTGCATTAAACATTTCATCAACTATGTGTCCAGTATTGCCAAAACCAAGCGCATTGTTGGGTACATCAGTTTCCACTCCTATGGCAAATACTGGTTAGTTCCATATGCTTACACTACAAATAAGGTGCCAAACTATGCAGAATTGGTGAGTAGACACACACACTTCTATCAATATCCAAATAAGAAAAGGATTCATTGTTTTTTTTTTACAGATGGACATTGCTAAAACTGGAGCTGCTGCTTTGAAACAGGTCAGAGGCACTCAATATGGAATTGGGATTCCTGGGAACGTCGTTTGTGAGTACTGCATGATTATTTTTAAATGCCTCAGGGGATAGCCACACTTGGAACAAACATTTCATCATTTTGCTGAATTCTTACAAGTAACATACAGTAGTTCCATTATATGAAAGTTTCAAATGCTAAAAATATGCAAAGTTTCCAATGCTTAAAATATGCAAAGCTTCCAATGCTAAAAATATGCAAAGTTTTCCAATGCTAAAAATATGCAAAGTTTCCAATGCTAAAAATATGCAAAGTTTCCAATGCTAAAAATATGCAAGGAACTTTCTCAATAATCTAACCTTGAACAAATAAAGGTGAACACTATGTGCAACCAAAAAATGTAAGGGACCAGAAAAGAAACCAATCACTAATAACTAAACTAAGAAACTATGCACACTAATCATACTAGGAAAACTTTTTTAACTGTATATCAGAACATGTTAGATCTTTGCACATATCAAGTATTTAAGAGTGAACTTTTTCTAGCAGTTTTGTTTTATAAATGGTTCAATTAAAGCACAAAATTTCAAGGTAAGATGGAGTAATTTTTTTTCAAAGACACTATCACAGTTACCAAGAAGCTCTTTGCTGTGGACCAGCAGAGGACATTTAAATATGACCAACCAATTGAATGTAAATTTGGTAATATACTGTATTTACTCAAGTACCCTGCATCCTAGATTAAGGTGCGCACAGGGGTTTTTCAGTTGGAAAGTTTGCTAAAATCTTATCCCTGAGACGTGCACCCCAATTTTTAGTGAATCTAAAACCACAAAATTTCAAAAATAAAAGCAAAAAATTTGACTTCAGGCATGAATTTAAAAAAAATATGATCAATTTTCAAATTTTTCAGTACAAAAAAGTTTTCTTGATATATTTGTTCCAAATTTCTGCTTTATAATCAAGTATAATGCACACTTAAATTCCTAAAACTTCTTGAAAATGTTCTACCTGCTTATGATGCACACCCCTTTTTTCTTCTGAAATTTGATTTAAAAAAAAGGTGCGCACGATATTCAAGTGAATACAGTAATTTTCATAATTATACTGAGCATGGGTGCATGATTCTCAAGAATAATCAAATGAAATCCCTAGAAATATGCCTAAATTTCTCTGATTTTGGCATATTTTTCATTCAGAACAGGAATTTTTTTGTGGCACCAAGTGAATTGGCACAAAATCTGGGTTTCCTTCAAGAACACAATGGAGCAAGATTTTTCCCATTGAAATTTGTGGCACCAAATTGGTTGACCAAGTCAACTTCTTGAAAAGTAAATCACCTTCTGTGACCTGTGAAGACTTCCAATGCAGCCCTCGAGTCACTTTCTAGTTCTGCCAATATTGATGAACAATAAAATTCCTTTCTATGCAGACGCTGCCAGTGGTTCATCCATGGACTGGGCATATGGAGCAGCCAAAATTCCATATGTCTTCACCTTAGAACTGCCTCCAGGATCCCACGACTCTTGGGCCAACGGGTTCCTCTTGAGCGCAACCCAGATCAAACCCGTCTCCGAGGAAACTTTTGTCGGGATCATGGCCACCGCAGATGCCATCAACAAGAAACTCAAAAAATAACAAAATATCTTTTCACCACACTCACGAAGACCCTGAAAAAAAAAATTATGAAGAAGAAGAAAACACCAGAAGTCCAAATAAAAAAAATAAAAAAACGATCCTGAGAAATAAAGCGAAACAGCCGAAACTTCCGAATACTCCTCGCTTCTTTTTTTTTTGCATCTCTCTTCAATTTCATTTTCTATGGATCATTCCGTTTTCTCATCCTCGGTCTTACTCAAATTTATTTTTTCAAGTTGAAAATCGCGTATAAAGCCAGCTGCCCACGTGATGAATTGGAGGGAAGTCTCACTCGACAAACGCAATATGGCTTTCCGAGATATACCCTCGTCGTAAAAAGCATACGTTTCCCTCTATTCTCTCTCTTTTTTTTTCACAACTTCCGCACATGAAAAAAAAACACGAACAAGGCGATTTTTCCCTTCTTTCGATGCGTGAATACATTTCCTAATACCGTCTGTCAAAAAAAAAGGGGGAAATGGAAAAGCTATTTTACAGTCGGGTTCTCTGAGAGGATCATCAGAGTAGACGATCATTCTGAATCGAATTTTCGTTGTGAAGAAGCCGTAGTAACTTTGATGGACGGTCAATGATAATTCGTTGTAAAGAGAAAATCGCTGAGATTTAACTTTTATATTACCGAAATTTCGCAGGTCAATTCGTATCGGGCTCAAAATTTATTTCGAAAACAATCCAAGAATATTGTATAGTATTAAGATTAAATTGAACCGTTTGTAATCTATTCCCGCAAATTGAAAAATTGATTTGAGTTGAAAACAAATCTCACCCACGACAACATCGGAAAACGTCCCTGAAAAATTGGGGATGGCTTTTTTTCTCAGATTTCATGGGGAATACTTCGCATCATCCTATTTCTCTCTGTCGGAATTATTCATAAAATCGTCTTTCCATCAGCAAAACGAGGGACAACAGAACACAAAATAATTGCCAAATTTCCTCAACAATGAGTAAGTCACAACGAAAAAAAATTGACATGATCAATTCCCCAAAATGTCCAAGAACACCAAAGAAAATATGACTTGAAAAAATCATTCAAGTCGTCAGCATGCAATTTTTTTCATGGGGGGGCGAACAGAGATTCCGCTCAAACACTGACTAGCTTTGATGACTTCGATTTGATTTGAATTTTTCCCCTTTTTTTTCAATTACGAAAAAAAAATTTTTTAATCGAAAAAACAATTTCCGTGTTTTGAAACAGCAGACGAGTATTAAATGACAGCTAACTTTTTCTGCATTCGGTAAACAAACGGTAGCACAGTTGAGATTCTTGAAACTAAAATCAACATTTCCCTTTGATCTTTTTTGTCTTTATTAGACATGATGATGCATTCCTGAAAATTGACCAAAATACTGAGATTTGCCGTTTTTCAAAGAACGCATTGAGATTTCAGATATGATTTGCTGTTGAGTAAGTTTCCCTTGATAAATAAATCACACGCACAATAAAAATCAATTATTAACAGTGTTACCTCAGGCAATGAACTTCTCAAAAATTGAAATTTCCGAACAACGGACAGAAAATTATTTTCGTTTCGGATAGTAGACAGAATTGAACTCGACTTCCGTTTAAAAAAAAATTCTTTCAGAAACGTGTCAGCGAGCGCCATTTCTATATTCTTTATTATTCTGAGTAAAGTCGTTATTTTGTTTTCCTGAATGTTTTCAAAAATTTCAATACTTCAAGATATCCCACGTTATCAATCCATTCAAGAAATCATCAAGAATATATTAAGTTTTCAAGACATCTGGAACGCATTACACAGTATAAATAGCTTTCAGTCACACAGTTAAGAATCTTTCCAGATAATGGACTTTCCAAAGGAACGAATCAAGTTAGTCAACCAAGGTAACACAAGTGAATCATAAAGTTATTCAGAGTTGATAAAAAACTGAACAAATGAACAGAGGGACTTCCAACCAGTAAATCGTAAGTCCTCTAAATATATCTTGAACAAAATAAAAAGTACAAGAGGACTATCTTCTCATAAAAAAAAAAATATTCGTGGGACAAGTAGAAAAATTCCTTTTACAGAAAAATTCGTTGAAGAGAACCCTATGGAACTGAACAACATTCTTCATACAGAGAAAATTGTTACAGAAAGTCTACTCTCTAATTCTGATGGGACTGTCAAATTGAACGTCCTCAACTCAACTCCAACAAATAAATCTCATGGGACCGTCGAATCGACCGTCGTTAAATTTATCTCAAACAAAAACATTTTTATGGGATGTTAACTTTAGAGAAAATTTTTTTTATAACAACTGATGCAAATCAGGCATCGGTTATTCACATTCAAACACACACACGCAAAAAATTTATATAAAAAAGGTGGATCGAAGGAATTAACTCCTAAATGTGAGACAACACCGAGGACGGCTCTTCATGCTGACACGTTCGCATCGGTTACAGGCACGTTACAAACACAGAAAAAAAAAAACAAACCAACAAAAAAGTTTCCTCTTCTTCCTCCGTGTGAATATACAAAGCCGGGATATGTTACTGAATCTTCCAATCGTTTTCTTTGTAGTCCATCATTTCCTCGAAAAAAAAAAACCCTCGTCGAGAGGAGGGACGAGTCATGATATGAAGCGGCGAAAGCGCTGACTCCAGCGTCTAATTCAAAAGCGCTCTTGTCCGCCGTTTTTATCACAGCAAAGCAGACGTTTTTTTCCCCTCTTCGTGATTAGCAAACAGGGTTCTTGGGATCCGTGAAACGTCGTCACCTGATTTTCCACAGGCCGCTGCCTTTGCGTCCAACTAGCAATGCCGCCACTAAAAGAGAAAAAAAAATATTATTGCTGCCGTTGCTTTTCGTTTTTTGACAAAACCCTGAGCGCTTTCTTTTGTACAATCTCAAATCATCGTTTTTCGAAAATTTTCCGATTAAAGAAAAACATGCATCTGTCTTTCGTCTACATTTAGGTACTGTACAAACAAGAGACGTTTCAAGGGATCCATTTGCTCTGTATTCATACTACTGTATAATAACCAGTGCCGGTCATCTTATGGCCCATGGGCCAGATCTGGCCCACAGAGCCTCTTCATCCATCACGCGGTCCCTTCCTCACATGTTTCTGGGTGGAATTTGATGGATATTTTAAATTTGGGAACTCAGATATGCTCCTGCCCATTAATTTCGTTTTCTACAGCCCGCCAACAGATTCAAGTTTCTGCAAGTAGTTTTTTTATTAAAAAAAAACACACACACACACAAATTCAAAGATGACAAAATTGACGTTCTTGGAAACATTAACTTGTTCTTTTGGTTGTTTCCTAGAAGAATTTTACAGTACAGTATTTCCCATTATACTCAATTTTCATATTATTTCAACTTTTTTGATAAACTACCAACCCTGTTAAATCACCACGAGCCTCATGAAAAAAATGTGGCACTTTATCGAGGTTTGACTGCATCATTTGTGTGAAACAAAAAATGTAACGATTGAGTTAAATTTTCAACTGGGCTTCGAATGAAATTTTTAGTTTTTTACCCAAGCAGTTTTTCCCTGGATTTTGGCAACTGAAAACTAAGGTGCGCGTAATTCGAGGGGAAAACACTTTCCCCACAGTTATTTAAAAATCAAAGTTATGCGTCTTATTCAAGGCCACGTGGTATTCGAGTATACGGACGCCTCAACATAAGGAAGATTCGACTTAGGGAAACTTGAAACTTTGAAATTTTTCATCTTTAATGAAAATGGTATTCATTATCATATTATTTCAGCTTTTTTCAATAAAGCATCAACCCTCGTTGAATCGCCACACAGGAACAAATGGTAGCGGCTTATCGAGGTTTTACAGGAAATATTTCCGCCCGCATCAAAAAATAAATAAAAATTTAAAATAAACTTGCAAGATGAATCCTGAGGAGTCATGGGACGTTCTAGAACGGCCTTGATTACGACGACCCAGGAATCCCGTTCTTTCACGGTAGCAGCATAGAATACGCAGGTCTTGGCAGGCGTTTCCAGGGTGAACGGAAACCTGGCCCCGTTACTGCCAGAGCCGCCATCAGTACCATCTCTCACGCTCCAACCGTCCGAATGCGGGCCCAGGAATATTTCTCCTCTCGGATGCGCCGCCTGTCCAAAAACAAAAACCAAAATCAATAAAACTCACAACATTTTGTTGAGTGGTGACATCTGGTGAATGTATGCGTAAAAAATCTACTCTGCATTGGATCCTGACAACAGAGGAAGAACTTGACTTCTTCAAATAGCAGTGGTGCCCAACTCAGAAGTGGCCAAGGGCCACATTGAAATAATAGAGCATTATATGCGGGCCACAAAGGAAAAAGGTACAAGAAATATTTTACAATATATTGTGTAATTCGAGGGATGGTTGAANGTCTTGGTTGTGCCTTGTGAACGCTGAAAAGCGGCAAATGAAGTGTTCTGTTCATTCATTCAAGTACTTTTTAGATTTTCAACTTCTCTCAGTCAACCATGGAAGAAATGAAATGGCATAACACTTCATAGAGTGGTGAAACATTGTGAATGTACATGTAAAAATCAACGCTGCATTGCATTTTTTTTTTTACAAAAAAAAAAAACTTGACTTCAGCTAATACAGTGAAGAATGAATGTAGAAATGTTGTTCACGTTTTTGTTATACAGTACAGTGAATACAACATTCAAATTTTTACGATTAAATCTATGGTATCGGAAAAGATTTGAAATTTTCACGATGAGGGAAATTCCCTTTCGAAATTTTTAGGGCAGGGAAAATTTACTAATATAACAAAAAAGTCCCGTAGTGCAAAAATGTGTGTTGCAATGAGGTGGGAATCATAATTAAGATACTAGGCTCTTTCCAAGCCACAATACATTATTATCCAGGCTTTCTCAAGTACGTTTTAGCTTTTGAGTCTCTCTCATTGAACCATGGAACGAATGAAATGACAAAACATTTTGTTGAGCGGTGACATCTGGTGAATGTATGCTTTAAAAATCTACTCTGCATTGGATCCTTACAACAGAGGAAGAACTTTACTCAATCAAACAGAGAATGGTCTTTGGAAAGAAATAAAATTTCCAGAATGTATTTTTCAGTGAAAGAACGTTTCAGATTTAAAAGCAAATAAAATTTTTCGACAGTATAATTAATGACAAGATAGGAAAACGAAAAAAAAGAATTACAAAACACTTACTTTTCAGCTCATAAACCTCTTAGTAAACCACGAAACAAATGATATGACAAGAAAAAATTTTGATGCGTGGTGACATCTGGTGAATGTACATGTAAAAATCGACTCTGCATCGCATTTTTACAACACAAGAAGAACTTGGCTTGAGCAAATAAAGTGGAGATTAAATGTAAAACAGAGGTGCAAATTTGTACACCTTTTCTACTCGAAAGAAATAACTTTCCTTTTTACCATTCAATTCATGGTCTTGGGGAAAGAAGGAGAATTTCCACAACGTATTCCACAGTGAAATTGTGTTTCTAAATACAGTACAAATCATTCCGTAAAGTGAAGCGTATTCCCTTTTGTTCTGCAGGGAACCCCTTTGAAATTCGCACATGCACTCAAAAAAAACAAAAAAACAAAGAGACACGCGTGTTCCCTCACCAACGGAAAATCGTGATACATGAGCTTCCGGTTGTCGAGAGTGAACCAGCGCTTCCGGGCAGACTCGGTAAACTTCGGGCCAGCTTTCCACAACCAGCCCTCCATGGGAAAGTCCTGCGTGAGATGACTCGCCAACTGGACCTTGCTGGCCCCGGGATACGCCACCGAGAGCCGGTTGAGCTTGGCACTCCGAATGGCCAGGTACCACCGAACCACTTCCTCGGGGTCGTCGTGGTACACGTACAAGTGCCGCGTGACCCCGTCGGGTTGCAGATACGTCAGCTGGAGCGTGTTGGCATTGCCGGGGGTCTTGTGGGCGGAAAAGACGGCGTTGATATCCGATAACCTGATGCTCGCCTTGGCCGGCTTATTTTGCTGAGGGTTTGTCCAAAAAAAAGATACAATTATTTATTGGACAAGGACAAGAAAAAACAAAATTGCGTCCAGCTCAATACACGTTTCAGGGAATTTTTTTGCAAAAGTCACCCTGGCAGATTTCTGATCTCCCACTCAGAAGATGAGGCGCCCATCTCGCAGATTTTTTTTTATGTGGCCCAGCGTTTCCTTCAGAATTCTTGAAATTGACATGGCAATAATTCTCAGGGTTGCCGTCAAAAACTAGATTATTAATTCCGCCATTTTCATCAACAGGCGCCACTTGGGAAGAGAATGTGGCGGCTATGAAAGAAAATGGGGGAATTTATTTGAAAGACCTGGAGGAAAACCTTGGAATTAATGCCACGTCAATTTTAAAAATTTCGAAGGAAAAGCCAGGCTACACCAATAAATCTGCGAGATGGGCGCCTCATCTCTTGAGTGAAGAGTAGGAAGCTGCTAGGGTAACTTTAGTAAATAAATTAATGTACCAAAAATACGTCAAACTGGGCTACATTTTTTTTATCGCACCCACGTATGGGTTTTTTCCGAACCATGCATGTTTTTCAAGACAATCATAAGCCGGTTCATTTTCTATTCCTTAACTTCTGTTAGACCCCTCGTATTGACGCACATTCACGAAAATTGTATAAATACGCAAGTGACGAGCACTAGTTTTTGAGCTTTCAACATTGATTTTAAAAAGGGGTGCCCCCGAGGGTTGACCCACTTGGGGGAGCGACCTTGGGTGTTTCTGGAGTATGACTGAACAAAAAAAAATTATAATCTAGCCCATGATGTTCCGAGATTCTAGGATTTTTTGCAGACTAGAAAAAAAAGTTTTCAATTTTTCGCATGATGATGAATAATTTTCAGTTTCCGCCAGAGTTCTCAGCCCAATAAAAAAATTTAACATTTTTTTGCTTATTCTAGAAAACACCCAAGGTGGCCTTCAATCGGGACGGCCCTCGTTTACTCGCGTAAACAAAGGATTCGTTCAAAAGTCACGCTATGTCCACCTCTTTCGGAAAGTATTTCAGCGAGTCCTCCAGCTCGGAAAGCCGGAACAATTGCGGAGAGTATCTATCGTCATCCTTCTCCTTCTTCCACAGGAAACCCTCGAGCAACGTGGACGTGTAGGCAGACTGGGAGCCCGGATGCGCCGAAAACTCTTGCCGCTCGTACTTGGCCCGAATCCACTGCTCCTTCAAAATACTGGGACTATCTGGCCCGGGACGGTTGTAAAACAACGGCACGTGGGCTTCCAAACCGGTCTTGGACTTGGTGTTCCCGCCTTGCTCCAATTGTTTCACCTCGTCGTCCGTCCATCGATTGAGGGCCACGTGCTGGACCCGGCTCACGTTCCCGCGCATGTTGCGGTGGTAGGAGGCGCACTCGGTGCACAGGAACACGCCCAGGTTCACGGAGGCCCATTCCACGTCTAAACAAAAAAAAAAACGCATTGACAAATTACAGTAGTTACTCGAGTAAAATAATTTGAAGCGAAAACATCAAGAGAATTTCCCTTCGAGTTTCGATAGACAAATCGTTCACAAAATTTCTCAATTTTTTGACGAAAGGCTTTCATCAAAGATGAATCTGGAGGAAATTTCTGGAAAAGAATCCTTGAGACGGGTCTCGATTTTTCAAAAAACAACAGAAATACCGTAAATATTTTCTCGGAGCTTCAAAAATTAGGTGATATAAAGAGGATTCGTGTGAAGAATTTTTTGCCTTTTTCAGATATGAATAAACTTTCCAGGGAAAAAAAACTCAGGTGTGAAAAGCCTGGCATTAAAATATTTTGGAAAAGAATTACACGAGCTTTCCAAGGGCTAAATTAAAATAAAAAAATTACACGTCTCAATCAAAGTTAATTTTACAGTACAATCTTGTTACAACGAAGCATTTGGGACCTTGAGAAGGCTTCGTTTTAAATGAAAATTCGTTGAAAAGTTACTCATTTGAAATTGTGGCTATTGGGCAGGGACCCACAAAATTAATTCCATGTTATCGATTATTCGTTATAACGAGATTCTACCGAATTTTAATTTTCTCACAAGCAGAAATTCTGCAATGATTAGAAATAGTGCAAGATTTGGTTCGCATGTTCTGTTAAAAGCATGTGAATCGACGCAAACGGATGGAGACAAGTTCGCAAAAGCATCGAGCATTTCAATTCACTTTCAGGATTTACAAATACGAATAGAAACGGCAGAATCGATTCCTAAAGACGCCATTTTCAATTTTCGTTTACAATATGAACGAAAAAAAGAATAGAAGGAAGGAAATGAACACACTTTTGGAGGAACAATCAGCACAGACGTCGTTTCCAGGGGTGCTCATCAGCTCCCGCACGGCTTTCTCGTGCCGTCGGTCCATTCTTCCAACGCCGTCTCCACGGCATCAACCCACAGACTATTTCTCACTTCAACTCACACTAAAATACCCACTTACACACACTCCACAATAAGACACAAGAATACACAGAGAAGAAAAAAAAATCTCTTCAACACGCTGCTCTCTTTCTCTCTCTCTCTTTCCGTCTGAAAAGAAAAGAAGAAGGATTTGATTCATTCTCGTTAGAGAAAAAATTGAGATTCAACTCAACACTTGAGAATGTTGCGAAAGAAAACAACGATACACACTCAACACCCGCTATTCACACTCGAAAAATTTTCTTCATATAGTTCTCGTTTTTCTTCTTCTTTCTCTCTTCTCTGACCGCGAACAAAATAGCAGCTGAAAAAAGCTGAACCCGAACTTCTTCGCTTTATAGACGCGGGACCTTCACTCGGCCGAACAAACCCAAAAAAAAAAACTTTTACCAAAAAACAAGAGATGAATTTTTGCAAAAAACTTCTTAACAAAAACTTTGCATTAGAAAAAAACGATCGAAGAAACAAACGCGCGATTTCTTTCTTTTTCAAAAGCAAACCCCCTGATCGCAGGAGCCGAGGAGGTCTGCTTCTTTCCGAGATGAAGGAACGCAATCCAGAACCACGAAAATACCAACAGAAATACAGAAAGCACACTGAAGATAACGATAGAAAATGACCCGCAAAACGTAAGAAAGTAGGACTTAAACTCTTTTTGAGGTTCCACCTAAACCAGTTCTTTTTTTTTTTTTCTTCTTCTTATATGCCCCGAGGCCATCACTAAGCTCACCTAAATCTCTGCAGCCTCCGTGAACATTTGCGGTGGAAGTAGAATGCGTTCTCGGGAATTCTACAAGTCAGCCAAGTTTGAAATCTCTCCCGCATTCGAAAAGGACACAATTAAAATATCGGAATTAAATATCCCCACGACGACTGGAATTTTCAGAAAATGATCTTCCGGAAATAAATTAAATTCCTTTCAAGAGAAAAGAGCTGGGGAAACATTCTTGTTCGACAAATAAATCGGGATGTATTCAGAAATTTCTTTTAATTTCAGCTTCATAAAAAAAATCTGCCGTATCTGAAAAAAAATCAAATAAATAAGTTTAACCATTAACCAATTTAAAACGCACGAGAAACTGTTGAACTTCATTTGCATACTACTCATGGAATTCTTCACCAGAAACTCCTTTGAAATTCTTCTTAGATAAAAGCGTCTGGTCAAAACATAGAGAAATTTCGCAAATCATTGTTCAATTGGAACAGCAGACAAATTTGCAGCTTTCTTCATGATTTTCTCACTTTGAATTACTTCCCCAAAAATAAGCTATTGAAATCCCATTTTTATAACTGTCCATTTTGAAACAAAAAGACGGAATCGAAAATTCATCGATTCATTAGAATACCCGAAGAATATTCATAATCTGCCGCATGCATATTATCATTTTCCATGCCAGAGAATTTCGTCCCGTACTTAATTTGAATTCAGGAAAACTTCATTATTTTATTTTTCTCACGAGGAAAAATTCTGCAATGATTAGATATAGGTCAAGACTTGTTTCGAATGTTCTCCGGAGGGAAGATTTGAATTGGCGCAAACGAATGGAGACATATTCGAAAAAAGAATGCAACCCTCATGGGAAGATGATTTGGCCGATTTGTACGAATCGCGAGAAGTCCTCAATCTTTTTTTTTTTTCTTTTCGGACAAGAGTGGAGCACAAAACCGAACACAAAAAAGAGGGAAAAAATCAGAAGAGACCAGAAACAAGGTCTCAATTCACGAGAGAGAGACAGAGATACTGGAAAATAAAACGTAATTACCCCCCTTAAGATCAAAAATCATCGCACGAGAAAAAATTGTTTCTTCTCAGTTTCTTTTCTTTCTTTTCTTCTTTTTTTTTTACCCCACTTTCTAAAACACCGTCGCCGAAAAAAGAAAACAGTTCAGAAGTTTCTTTTCTTCTTCTCTCTTCTTTTTTTTTTTTCATTGCCCAGAACCGTCTCCATCCACCTTGACCCTCTTTGCGTCACTTCCGTCCGGCTCTTGCGCCTCGATTCCGTTCTCAGCATCGGCCAGAGGTCGTTTGCTGCCAACTACAACTGGGGAAGCAGGTGTTGTAGTCTTGAGCGCAGAGACAGCCTTGAGTTCGACGATGATGGATGTCATGTTATCACAGCCAGTGCCTGTGAAAAAGGGAGATAAAAAAAAAGAAAACGTTCTTCTTATACTGTATGAACTCAAATTTTGTTTAACCAATTTTTTTTTACAAGTACAGTTGAACCTTGATAACTCGAACTTTCCGAATTCGAATTTTTTAAAGTCCCTGTCTGATTTTTTTTTTAGAAACAATGCTTCGAAACTCCAAGGCTTTTCCTCTCAAACCTCATCGACTCGAATTTTCTGACGCTTTTTTTGGCGATGTTCTTGACACAGGAAGGAGAGAAAAACAATAAAAATAAGGATGTGTTTTGAAAAGAATTAAAAGAGTAATTGGGCAAATGAACCTTTTCCTCCAAGTTCAGCATCCGGTCAACTAATTCAAGGAGCAATTCAAGGCCCAGAATATCAACATATACACTTTCCTGCAATTCTTTCATCTTTCCCACAACAAAAATGCTTGCTTTCACGATTCAAAACTGCGTAACTTGAATTTTTTTGTTGGTCTTCTGACATTCAACTCAATGAGGCTTGACTGTACTGTACTGTAAAAGTACAGTGATTATTCATATTTTTTAATCGCTAGGGTTCTACGTGCCGTCTCCTTCCGTGTTGCCGGCTAGACAGTGCATGAACATCTCGCGACAGATTTCGCTCAACGCTGGCTTCGGCTCCTTTTGTAGTCGGGTCCGCACGAAGTCCACCACCTCTTGCGACGACATGCTGTTCCAGATGCCGTCGCAGGCCAGCACTAGGAACTCGTCCTCGTCCGTTAGGTCGGCTGTGCGCACGTCCGGATCCGCCGTGATCATCTGCTTCCTGTAGATTTTTTCCAAATTCAAAAAAAGAGGATTAACAATAATTCCATTGTTATTAGATGTACCGTAGTACAGTATTTACTGGAGTCTAAATCAGTGTACCCCTACCTGAAGTCCGCAAAATTTCTTCAGCATCAAAAATTTATAGAAGGTAGTATTGAAGCCTGGTATTGCTCATTATCCGAAATTTTGGAAAAAATGGCAGTAGAAATTATCTGAGAAAAAATAAAAGTTGGCTTTTCTTATTACAGTATTACACTTTATGCTTCAGACATATCTTCACCTGTCGGAAATAGATTATTTTCAGTTCTAAATATAAGAAGCCTTTCTTGAAGCCAGCTTCATATTTTTTCATGACATTTCAATATATATCAGCTTATTGGTTCTTTACTTAATTTTTGAAATACAAGTTTTGTTCTAAGGACTTCATGGCAGGTATTTAAAAATTTACCCGGTTTTCAAAATTGTACAAAACTTTGCCGGTCCGCAGAAAATTTTATGACAATTTGCCAGTTCACAAAAGATTTTATTACTATTTGCCGGTCCGCAAGCAAAAAAGGTTGGGGAACACTGGTCTAAATCCAAATGAAAAATGTCTAGTTGACATTTGCCTGACTTATGTAAGAGTGCGTTCATTTTATAAATTCCCAGTAATAAAAAAAAATCTCTACTATATTTGTTTATCCTTGAGTTGATAAATGAAGATTTTTGGACTGAGAAGACGCTTTTGTGGAAAAGTCTGATTCCGCAAAAATTTATCGCATCGGTGCTCAGGATGATACCAGAATAATTGACTTATCTTTTGTAAGAAGAGTGCATTCTTTTTGATGAATGTTTTCTTTTGTTGATTTGGTACCAAAAAATGAGCCAAAACATTTGATGGCACTAAATCGAGATTCAACTGTACTGTAAAATAGAAAAAAATATGGATCCTCAAATTGTGAAAATTGAGTTTTAAAATTCTTTACATGCAGATACTGTATGCCCTGAGATGCGGACATATTTGGTGCTTGAGCCTTTTCCCTATGTCAGAACATCCACATGTTGGATCATATTCTCTCATAGACTTCAATAGGAACTGATTCAATCATTTAATTGATTTTCTAGTTTATCAAAAATTAGGAATAAATTCCCTCAAAAAGCTACTAAAATGTGTTTTGTAATTCAAAGATGAAGAATATAGCAGCGTGGAAGAAAACCACACAGAATCAGATCTTCTGACATCAAAAGGACCCCAAAAGGCGAAGAAAACGTAAAAGTCCTCCTGTACTGTGTACAGATGATGAATACCAGTACTGTATTTACTAAAGTACCACACGCCCTTGCGTAAGGCGCGCACAGGGGTTTTTCAGCTGGAAATTTGGCTAAAATCTTATACCCAAGTAAGACGCGCACCCCATATTTTAGTGAATCTAAAACCACAAAATTTTGAAAATAAATTCAAAAAATTGACTTTAGACATGAATTGAACAAAACTTGGATCAATTTTCAACGTTTTCAGACAAAAAAGTTTTCTTGTTACAGTATATTTGTTCAAAATTTCTCCATTAAAATCAAGCATAATGCACACATAACTTCCTAAAACTTCCTGAAAAAATTGTACCCACTTATGACAAGCACCCCTTTTTTTTCTTCTGAAATTTGAGAAAAGAGGTGCGCGTGGAACTTGAGTAAATACAGTATTTCAGAAAAAGAAGAGAAAAATTAACCTGCTTTTGATTATAAATTCAACTGCACTGTATATTTCATGAAATTCATTTTTAACTTTTATGAATATAAACAACTCACTTTGTTTCGAGAGATAACCGAATCTTGAATAATAAAAATGTTACAGTTTTCTAGAAAATGGAAAAGTGTCTGTATGTCAACATATTGTCCAGATGTCGGTTCAGATTTTTAAACGTTTCAAATTCCCCAAGTCCAATCGTCCTCATGTCGGGGCGTCCGCATTTCGGAGTCTCACTGTATCCTGAAGTGAAGTGGAATACCGTGCTGTATAAGGTTTATTTGTAGAGGGAGACTCACGACGACGGCAGGTCTTTGTTCTGTTTGTAGCTGTGGTCTCCAAAGGAGCGACTGAGGTTGAGGCCGCCACAAACGCGGCCGTCGGGCGTGACGACGCCGCCGGCGAGTCGGATCCGCGTAAACTCCACGGCGTCCTCGGGCTTGTGGTCGACGCTGAGGTCAACCGCTGTTCCGCCGCGGCAGAGCACGCATCGGGAATCCCCGGCATTCGCCACGAACACTCTGGGCCCGCAAACCAGGGCCACGACGGCTGTGCAGCCGGACGCGTGGCCCGGGCAGTCCCGGTCTCCTTGCGCCCCGCGCAGCTCTTCCATGAACGCTGAAAAAAAAATTTGAAAAAAAAATGAAACCCACTCACGTCAATCCCGCAAACGAGGGGTTGAAAAAAATTAACAGGATAGAAGAAAAAGTTTCAGACACATTTTTTACATATGTTTCCAGGCATAAGAAATAAAAATACTGTTGAACTCCTTCAGTTTAAAAATCGGGCGGGTGTCAACATTTTGGGGTGGAAAATTGTGTGAGTGCCTGGTACTAGAGTAAATAAGCAGTCAAACCCCATTAATCTCTTCTTTCCTTTTCTTTAAACGTGGACTTCTTCAATTTTTCTTCAGAAACAAGCGATGTTTTTTCTCCTTCCAAACATACTCTCCAGAGCTTAATTTTTTCCTTCACAAATCCTTGAATATTACAGTATTGCTTGCAAGCACTCTTCAGCAACTGCTCTGACTCTCCAAATTCTGAGTAGCTTTTTCTATCTCATTTTTATACAAGGTTCAACTGTACTGTACAGAGAGACCTGACATATAAATCATTCAACTTGGGGACACTTGAAACTGAAAAAAATATGCCCCCCCCCCCAACATCTAGATAGTGACTCAAGATACAGACACTTTTCCAAGATTTTTGGAACATTTTTGAACATTGATTCTGCTAAATTTTCATGTCTTTAAGAAATTGAGCTTTTCACATTTACAAATGCTAACAATAAATTTAATTATAAAATCACCCAAATGCATAATAAAAACAGATAAATTGGTGGTTCTTTTTTTCAGTTTTTTTTTTCCATCATGTGCTCTCAGTATAGCAAGCCTATTTCTTTGCTTCTTGAGCTCCTCCTGATGCCAGAAGATCAGATACTGTTGACTTTTCTTTGGCAAATTTATTTTCTGTATCTTCAATTTGAGAAAAAATTATTTTATTCAATTTTTGGGGGGGACTTTTTCCTAATTATTGATCTGCAGGAAAACCGAATTAATCATTTTTCAAGTGAAGTCTATGGGAAAACGAGGTTGGAAATGCGGACGCTCCGAAAGAGGGACAAGGTCGAAGCATCAATTGCGTCCGCATCTCGGGGTCCCACTGTTCATAGTTGATCATAGAAGCAAAAGAAAAGAAACCAACAGCCATGGTAGAGCTCTTCATCAATCTCTTCTTCCGCGAGCTCGTCATCCTCCTCTTCCTCGCCATGCAACTCGCTGTCTTCGCTGCCAGCCGACGCGTTCTCCTCCTCCTCTTCCACCTCATCGCCGTCTTCTTCCTCGTCGTCCTCGCCGCCGTCCTCATCATCATCATCATCGTCGTCGTCGTCATCTTCATCATCATCCTCATCGTCGACGTCCCCAGCCGTCTCCTCCACCTCGAAATTGTCGTCCGACTCGGAATCATCCTCGTCGTCCGCCAAATCCTTGGTCACAAACTGCTCGTAGATCACGTCCGCCGTTTCATCCGGGGGCAGTTGAGGCCCAGAACCGTATTTCTTGGGCAAGATGCCCATCATGCCGGGCACCTGACGAACGGGTCGCTTGCCGTTTGGATCCGGCTTCTCGTCAGAGTCGCCGTTGACGACGGAGGAGGCGGTCGAGTCGCCGTTGGACTGCGACGCTTGCTGCTGCTGCGGCGTCGACGACGACGACGACGACGTGGAGGACGAGTCGGGTGGTGGTGGCGAAGATGAAACGCCGTTCACGACGCCATTTTCCAGCTTCTTGGCTTCTTCCGGCTGCACCGGGACCTTTGCAAAAACGAGGGACACAAATCGTGAGGTTTTTTTTGACGAGATGCTGATTCATCTACTGAAAATTCTGATTCATGTCTCCAATGATTTGAAAGTAGAATTATGTTCACGATTTTCAAAATTCCTAAACATGCTTCATGAAAAAATTACGCTTTAATCGTCCATGATGGCCAAATGAAGTTGAGAAGAATATAATAAGGACTCTGAATACAATTACAAAAAAATTTAAAATCAGTTTCTGAGAAAAATTCAAAATTTTACCGTACAGCGATTTATTCAAGTTGCCGGTATAAATATTCAACGAATCAAATAAAAGTGAAGGACGCAACATTTTCGATGAGTAAGATTATTCTTGTAAATTATTGTAATGTACCTAAATCTCGACCAACTTCAAATCGATTTCATTTTTGACAGAAATAATTCAATTGTTTAAAATAATTATAGCAAATAATTTCGTTAGTAGGGTATTATTGTTCTTTTTTTATTGGGAATGCCATAGTTGTAATATTAACCATGCATAAAAAATGATCGATTGTCTGAAAATCTGCTACAACCCTTTTTTTTCTTCTACGAAATTTTCAATATACAGTACCTTAAATAGTTTCAAATATTGTACTGTACTTGAAATGCCTTCGACTGCTCAAAAATTCGTAGAACACACACGCGTGACAAATACGTAAAGCGAATTTCTTTGCAATGAAAGAGTTCGGCGGAAAACTCCACATCTTCTCTCCATTCGAAGTTGGGTGAGTGAAAATTAGAGTAAAAAGGTCAGGAATGATTTACGTTTACTCCATGAAAAATAGCTATCCTTGACCTTCGAGAAGGTTTCTGATACACGAAAAAAATCCAAGAAGCGCCATCTCTTGAGGAAAAAAGGGCTTACTTTCTTCACGGGTAGGTATTCCTCAACAACTTCCTTCTTCGGAGACACGAGAGGTTCTTCTTTGCAAATGCGTTCCGTCTTCACGGCGTCTTCCTTCTTCGGAGAAACGAGAAGTTCTTCTTCGGAAACGCGTTCCGTCTTCACCGCGTCTTCCTTCTTCGGAGAAACGAGAAGTTCTTCTTCTGAAATGCGTTCCGTCTTCACCGCGTCTTCCTTAGCGCTTTCAGAGCCCACGTCGTTATTACTTTTCCGCGGCTCACCGGACCCACTGCTCTTGGCCTTCGTCGTCTTCACCCTAGCACTCAACTCTTCTTCCTCGTAAATCGAGACGCCTTTCGCCTTCGACGGCGAAGCGAAACTGGACGACGAGGAGCAACCCGCGCCGGAAGAACCGGCCCCGGAAGAAGAAGAAGAGGCACCAGACGTGACGAAGTCGATGGTTCGCGTCGACGATTTCGCGGGGGATGAGGAAGAAGACATTTTCTCAAGCACGGCTTCGATAGGTGCATTTGCTTCCGCTCGCAGCTCTGCCAGACTGACTTCCAGGTTCTCCGAACCGAGTTCTTCTTCATCACTGTCTCCTGAAAAGGGAAGAATATCAAAGGAATCGTCAACGAAGCCACAAAAAAAACATGGAATTGAAAAATAATTTTCTACGCAAGATTATTCGTCCCAATCTCCCTATTTCATCTGTCGACCTAGTTTAAAAATTGTGCACTCGATCTACCGAAGTTTCCGAGGCAACGCTGCCACCTTAAAAAATTAATAACTTGATAGACAGCTCCTTTCGGAAATTATTCGTTGTTTCTTTTTCTACATTGCAGCATAATTTCATTTCATTTGAACATTATAAGAAAGGAGCAATCCATTTTTAGGAATACATTTCAAACTTGTACGGAGATTTCTGTGCTTTTGTGTAGTCGTACTAAATACTGTACTAAAAAGTTGGAAAGTTTTCTTCATAAAAAGCTTTTTTCACAATCAACTAATTTAATAAAAATTGCACAGAACACGGAAATGAAGCAGTCGTTTAGTTTCCAGACGGATTATTTCAAAATTTCTTTCGAAAATCTCAGACGAAAAGACAGAAAATTATTAGACGATAAATTAACCCTTACACTTATTGGTTATTCATACACTCAGACATGAGACAATATCCCAAATTATTCATGTTTCCAGAACTGCATTACAATTATTTGGGCACTTCTTTCTTTTTTCAGCTGCCTGACCGCAAAAATGCTTTTTTCGCCCTAGGAATTTCACTGTCAGTGCAAATTTCAAGGGCCTAAGATATGTAAGAACAATTTTAAATCATTCTTTTCATTTTCTTTCACCTGAGTTATTCTTTTCAAAAGCTTTTTATCCGGATAAAAGCTGGGCCAGTTTCAAAATGCTGCATCACAATCTTGGAGCATGTCTCACTAGCACACATGACGCGAACACGACAGTTTAAATTTCTCCAACACGTGAAGCATTAAAAATAAGAAATAATGCATACGGAAAATTTGCGGAATTCAGGCAAAAGAAAAAATTAACCTTTGGCGGAGTTTTCTAAAATGTCAGCACATACGAAAATAAAATAAAAACCATTCAATAGCACGAGACTAAGCAGAAACCACACTAAATAGACGAGGGACAAGAATTTCCAGGGTCGACCAGTTCTCACGCCCAACAAGCTTTTTTCTTATTCTCCCAAGCTCTTCAATAAACTCGCAGCGTTCTAGGATAGAGACAAAAGAAATAAAGAATAAATACCGAGTTTACGCTACACAGATAAGCTTGTTTCTAGTTTTTAATTCTTGAATGGAATTCCCATGCGAAGAGAAAAAATAATAACCGCGAACTGATGAAGAGTGAAAAAATGTGTTCCGAGGGTCAGATTGCATTTACAGTATAGACATGAAAATGACTTCACAACTACGCAGCTTCATTTTTTCAATTCAGCATCAATATTTTTGATTACAGAAAATTACACAAAATTTGTTGGAAATTTTAATCAACGAAGATTTTCTATATCTAAGAAGTACCATCAATTTAATTTTACATGCTGTAACTCTGATGAACCAGAAATTTCTGAACACGTATCAAGGACGTTATTTTTTTCAACACCAACACCAGTATAACTCAGGCGACTTTATTTCTCCTGAGGTAAATTTTAAAAATTGGATCCTTCACTCACAGATTTTTCTAAAATATTTTCTCAATTGATCAACACTGCTGGAACAATTGGGAAAACTGAAGAACAGGTCTTAGGGAATTACAAGTGCCTTCCATAAAAATATATCGCTAGATTTCCCAGAATAGTTATCAATAATTTTTCTTTCCAATAAAAAAAAAATTGGTACTTTCCTGTTATCTCTGTACCTCATTCCTAGACCGCACTACCATCCAGACAAATCTTTAGGACGAGTTCATCATCACAACAACCTACCAGAAACTGAATTTTATTTTTCCGCATTCTGCTGAAACTGATTTTGTGAGGCGGTTAGGTAAAGTTTGGTTAGGCCAGGTTATATTAGTTACAAATATATTTTAGTTAACATAACCTGACCTAACCTAACTTTACATAACCGCCTCCCAAAATCATTTGTGCGAATCTGTCTTCGAAGAAGCTTATTCCTTTTAGCTGATAATTATTAGTCACGTTTTTAAAATTATTTCCTGTGTTTTTTTTTTTGGACTGCGATAACAGGGAAGTAGGTATAGAGATAACAGGAAAGTACCAAAAAATTTAATGATTCCGCAGTCTAATCATCGATTTAATGATTCCGCAGTCTAATCATCAGCTTCATTGAATAGGGTGCTTGAAATCGGCCAAATTCGCATCAACGACAGCCGGGTCTTCTGAATTTAACAGATTACCTCGTGAACTAGCATTTTTAACGTTTTTTATACCTTAGTAACTCTTCCCAAAATGACAACACAATGAATTGCTCAACGATTTTCCTTAAAAGTTCAACGTGCGAATGTTGGCTTGGTGGGGTGGATTCTCATAAAAAAATGCACAAGAACAAAAAATAAATTCCACTCGGATACGTAAAATCCGCAATAAAAACAATCAAGGTGAAAAAATAAAGAACCAACCGAGCCCGGGTTCTTCGTCACTGCTGGAATCTTCACCCTCTAACCCACTGCCTCCATTGTGTAAAGTCTTCCATCGCTTTTTTATTAGGTTCAGGATCCCCTTCTGTTCCAAAACATCTGTTGAAGGGCCAGCGATCCGCTTCAGTTCTTCTATCACCTAGGAGAAAAAAACGCAATCGAAAGATTTAAAAAAAAAAACCATCAATGCATTAAATTTGAAACAATGAATTATTCAAATCGACTTGATTCGCGGTCAGTTGTTTTGATACAAGATGTTACGCACAGAATTTAAAAAGCATACAAACCAACCAACCTAACCCCATGGAATCATTCATAAATTTCATCATTCAAATATTGTATTTACTCAAATACGACGCGCACCTTCATTGTAAAAATCAAGCGAAAGGAAAAGAGGGACCGCGTAATAAGAAAGAATAATTTTTTTTATAGATAGATTACATTATTTCAAACTGAAACGATGGAGAATTGGTTCAATTTGGGTTCAATAAAGTCAAAATTTTGATTTAGAGGCATTTCATGCACAAAATTTTTCATTTCTTTTTACTTCCAAAACACGAGGTGCACGTCAAACCCGGGGATACGATTTTAGCCGAATTTTAGGACTAAAAAACCAGGCACTATGTAAATGCGGTATTTTTATTTAATGGACACAATTGCAAAATTAATTAAATTCCGGTTCTATTCATGTCTAAATTCAAATTTGGGTGTGCATATCTTTGAAATATTGCAAGTTTTAGAGTCACTAAAAAATGAGGTGCGCGTCTTACTCGACGTTCTGCTAAAATAGGTGTTTAGCTCAGTGAGTGGACTCCGACACGCTCCTCTCTTAGTTTGAAGTTCTTTCAGCATCTGAGTTTAGTAAAGATTTAAGTTTAAACCGGTAAGAATAGAAACTTTATGTGAACAGCAGTTTCAGAGTCACTGAACAATGGGGGGCGTCGACTCGACTCAATTTCTACAAATTTAATGCACAAAAGCACAGTCACTCACCTGAGGCTGTGCGAGGAGAGAATCAAACTCCAAGAACGCCGTCGACAAGCACTTTTCATAGTCGTCCAACGAAAACAGGTCGTGGGCAGCGAGGAAGCCCGGGAAATGCTCGGCGCAATACTTGGCCACTTCCGCGCCGCCGTGGCCGTCGTAGACGGCAAACAGGGCCTTCCCGGGGTCCTCGGCGTAGCTGAGAATCACGTTGTGCGCGTCTTCTTGCGACTGGCGCCAGCCTTGCATCGCATTGGCGCCGCAGCTCAGCGCCTCGTTCGACACGTCCAACGGCTCCGTGTCCGTCTTCGGGGCTGACTGGTACGCGCCCATTGCCTTTCAACTGCACTCACTCACTCACTCACTCACTCACTCACGATCGTTTTCCCCCGCACAATCTCTCTCACGATGATTAGAAAAAAAAGAAAAAACCCGTCGGATTTGTTTTCACATTCGGCGCATTATCTCAACGCGTGTGCGGATTCACCATTAAATCCAATCCTGTGCAGAAAAAATATAACAACAATGCAGACATCGTCACAACCTCGCATCATAATACTGTACAGCAATAAAAAAAAACGCACTCCGCAAAATCTCCGATCATCACAGAAGATTTTTCAGACCGTTTCGCACGAGATTCCGCATTTCCCAACAACCTGTTCAATGCCAAAAAAAGAAAAAAAAATCGCAAGACGAAGTTTACTCAGGTAGAAGCCCGAAAAAAAAAAAAAACCTGTGGCAATATTCAATCACCTGTCAAAAACCATTCCATGTTGCACATTGATCAGTGGAAAATTCAGCATTTCCAGCATTATTCGATCCTAGCGTTGAAACGCACGTAGAAGTGCATCAAATAATTGGGGTGCATGTCCACGAAATACTCTATCGAAAGTTGCATCAGCTAAAAATCGCTTGAGAAAATATTAGGCATCCCATCAGCATTTGTGGGCTTCAAGCCTTCAAAATCACTTTTCCGTCAAGAATATTTTTCCATCACTCTTCAAGTAAACAAAATATTGCCTCTACAATTCCTTTTGGCGGACAGAAGAAATGTCATGAGTTTCAATCACAAATTACACAGTAACATCACAGCACAAGTTCACTTATTGGCACTTCTCTGAAACCAATTTCACACTGCAGTTGCTGTATACCATCACATCCGTGAAAAGCGGATCACACGACTTGAATCAATCTCCAGCGATAACGCGGAACGGTTTTTGAAAGATACGGATGCAAGATTTGAAGTTACTGGAATGCCTGAAAAATCAACATCCAACACTTCCACTTCTCAAAACAACCAATTATTAATTCCCATTGTTATTAGAAACCCAACCCCTTTGAAAAAAGCGTTAGGAAACCAATCAATCACAATACAGTTGAACCTCTCCAAGTCAAACTTCAAGCAACCAGCTAAAAAAATTGAGTAAAAAATTTGTGATGCGGGAAAGAAAAAAGTTATTACAGGTCATTGTACTTGGTGAAATTTTGGGCATTAAATTGCTTCTCAAATGAGTTGACGGCATGCTGAACTTGGAGGCACGGGTTCAATTTGCCCAATTTAGTCTTTCGCTTCCTTTCAAAACACATCAAATTAAATTTCTATTGCTTTTCTCTTTCCTGTGACAATAAAATAATATCCTATAAACCTTCAGAAAATTCGAGTTAACGGAGGTTCGAGAGGGAAACCCTCTGAATTAGGGACTTTTTCAATGAACTATTTTTAATATACTAAAACAAATTTTGAGGTACTGTACTGAGGCATTTGAATTATGGAGGATCAATTAATCGAGATTCAACTGCTTACGATTGGAAACTAACATCAGATCTCTCTGAAAATGTCAAGAACTAGCGCCATTTCCATGCGTCGTCGTCGCTAATATTTCAGACAAATGGTCTTGGACTCCGTGTAGAATTCCATGGATTCTTCGATACCTTCTCTGCCTCGTCCACTGGCCTTGACTCCACCGAAAGGCATGTCCAGGCAACGCACCATCCAGCAATTTACCCAAACAGTGCCCACCTGGAGAACCAGAAAAAGGAAAAACAATGATACCCCGAACAACGAACGCTGCATTCAACAATCCCGAGTTTTTCAAAAAGACTCAACACGAAACGAACCCACATTTCTCCACAAAAAAAATAATGAACTAAACAAGTTGTTGAAATATGAAAATTAGCTGCAAATCTTTCCAACTTCTACGTGCAGAAAAAAAAAAAGAATCACGAAGTGAAGACCAATTCTGCTGTGTTCAAGTTTCTCTCCTGTTTTCGGCGATTTTGCGTTCCTTCCACACATGGTATAAATATGAATAATTTGTCGAATACGCGTTGCAGACAAATGAGGATGAGTCCTGAAAAAATAGGTTCACGGCGATCAAAATTTTCGGGATTAACCCGCATTAATTTTTCCATAAAATTCGCTAAAAATCTGAGAAACCACCAATAAAAATCGGAAATTTCTTAATCTCCAAGAAATTTCTCAGACAATGCGTCAAAATCCATCGAAATGTATTCAAACTGTACTTCTTCATGCACTTCTGAATTACGAATTGATGCGCAGTGCTGCTGCGTTGAAGTTTTTCTCCTGTTTTCGGCAATTTTGCGTTCACTTCTACTTATACACATTTCCTAAACACAAAAAATTGTATATTACAATGAATAATTGCCACAGGAAATCCGAGAAACCCTTCGTAAGAGTTTGAAAATTCCTTCTTTTTCGTATAGAAAGATTACTTCTATACGAAATAATCTGTCAAAATGTATTGGAATAACGTGAAGAAAAAAAAAGTACAATAATGTACCTTCAAGGCTCGAGACATTCGCATGCAAGTAGACACATTTTTGGACCAAACGGATGCGCACAAGCCGTATTCCACGGCATTTGCTTTAGAAATCGCGTCAGCTTCGTCAGTGAATTTGGAAACCGTTACAACAGGTCCGAAGATCTCTTCCGTGATGCATGAACTTGTTTCGTCCAATCCGGAAATCACCGTGGGCTGAACGTAATATCCCTACGAAAAAGAAAGAAAATGATTTTTTCATCATTACAAATTTCAAACAAAAATATAGCAAAATATAGCAACGATTCATGCGAAAGTTTTTTTTTTGGGGGGGGGGGGGAGTTTGATTAAAAATTCGAAGCGGACTACTGTCCCTTTAGAAAACTAGCGAATCGTGAAATAACAAATCGCTGCATCAGTTTCCAGTTTTCTAAAAACTTGGTATAAAAAATGCTTGGGGCTTTGGGATCACAAGGATCCGAAACTGATCAAAACGTCGATCTTTTGCAAGAAAAAAATTTTTTTTTCAAGAACCATGACGAAGAGTTTATGAAAAAACATTGCTTTTGAAATCGCGAAATATAACCTTGCCAAAAACATTTCATCTTTGAAAAATCCTGGTTAAGAACGTTTCTGTGGAACAACGATTCGAACCCATTCAAGACATGATATTAAGTACAGTAGTTTAAACAACTTTCTCCGAAGATGTTCAAATTTTTGTTTCGCTTTTCTTGTTAAATGTTTTTCGAAAGAAACATTGATGGGATTTTCAGTGCAACACTGATTTTGCAATCGCTAAATAAAAGATTGCCGAACGAATTCCACCTCTGCGAATCCTGTGCAAGGAAATTTACATGAAACAACGATTCGAACACGATCAAGACAAGAAACGAAGTCACTACAACATTTTTCTTCAGAAATCTTCACATCTTTTTTAAGCTTTTCAAATTTTTTCAAAAGAAAGGTTACGAGGGATGTTTATTAAAACACTGATTTTGATACAGCGAAACAAAACATCGCTAAAAAATTTTGCCCGAGAAAATCCTCGTTCAAAACCTTGCGGTGAAACGGAGATTCGAACACCATCAAGACCTGAAAGGAAGTTGTTTCACCCATTTTTTTTTTAGAAATTTTCACATTATTTTCGGCTTCTTTTTTTTCTCTTCCTCGAATAGCGACTGAAAAAAACGCGTTTAAATACGACAAGAGTCTCCAAAAATGAATAAATTCCTCTTGCTCACGTTCTCGTAGCCCTCAGGCAAAACCAGCTCGTCAACACCATGCCCACAATGCAAAACGCCTCCTTCGTTTTTCGCCACGCCGACGTAGTGCAAAACCTTCGCCTTGTGTTCCTTACTCACCAAAGCGCCGCAGAAAACACCCGGTACCTCATTCGGACCCACTTTCAATTCACTAAGAAATTATCAACAAAACAATGTCATCCACAAACGGGGGGGTTTTTTTCCTTTTTTTAATCGCGTGATTGACGACTTACCGGACAGCAGGTACAAATTTGCGTAGGAAAGCATCGAAAATCGTTTCCTGCACGTAGAGTCTCGAGGTGCAGAGACAAACTTCGCCCTGGTTTATGAAGCAAGATCGGAGTAACGTGGAGATCAAAGAGCCTTCGCCTGAGGTTTCCAGGTCCACGTCGTCGAATATTATCCCGGCATTCTTTCCTCCCATCTGGAATGCAAGACATTTCTGTAAAAACTCACTTCCTCTTCAAAATGTTAAAAAAAAGAGAAAATGTTGTGGAGAATTGAAATCTTGCTTCGCATGAAGAAGTAGGGACTTGATTCTTCACAGGAACACTGCGGAGATTTTATATTTACAAAATATTTAGAAAACATTCCAACGCCAATTTTGTTTTCTTACAAGCCAAAAAAAGAAATTCCTCAAATGTATGTTCATAAGTGAAAAATAAATTGATACATTTTACGGAGTTTGGACATGGGTTTGGATTAAATATAAGAAACACTTCATTTAGTTTCACAATCTTCAAAGAAAAGCTCGTGATTTTTTTTTATCTTGGCAATAGAGAAGAATTCCGATGCTTCATTTTGTTGATGGAAAAATGCAACACATTAATTTTCAATATCCCAACTCTCTAGTCATTCCAACCTCTTCCTTCTTTTCCCAAGCTGAGAATTTGAATTTGTATTTTCCGTTGGTGTTGGGGATACGGTTTAAAAAAGATATACAACTTCAAAGACAAAAAAAAAACGTTCTAAGGGATTTTCCAATTATTTTATGAGAACTTGAACACACATTCTCTCAGAACCGGTAAAAAAAATTTCACGAAGCAACTTGGACAAATTAGCGATTCCACACAGCATTGAATTAATTGGATAAATAACTTCCCAGTAGAAAAAGGATCAAGTATATCGCTGAGCTGGGTTTTCAGTATTTATTCAAAAACTAAAAATTGAACACGCTCTCAAAATCAAAAAAGCGTACACGGTTCGTAGTCAAAAAAAAAAAAAGTAAGGGAATTTTCCTGGGCAGGCCAATTTTGGGGAATTTCTTCTCTCTTTCCAAAACGTGGCGCGTTTCAACTTGAAAATGAAGATCTTCAACAAAAATATAGGCAACCACGAATCTTTCCCAGTCGGGTGTGACAAGCAGAAACCGGTTCTCACTTTATCTGGTGCAGGTTCTGGTCAACGCGATATCGGTTATCAGTGATAAAAGCTCGGGCAACCCTGAACACGTTCTGCAAGGATATTTGAGCTGAGCACTAAAAACGCGGAAAATACAACGTGAAACGAGTTTCACGAGAAGCGTCCGTTTTATTATTTTTCCTTTTTTTTAATGAAAAAAATCGGAGAAGAAAAATCAAAAACGGTTTTTAAAAAAAAGGTTAGTTAGAATGTAAAGATGAAGTGAAGGGCGGAAGAATCTAATTTCTGTTGGCGAACTGGTGATTACCTAATTTCTGAATTTTCCGAAAAATCACGAGCGAACATTTTGGATATCTTTTTCGTTCCAAGATTAAAAAAAAAAAAATGTTTCTAAATATTCCTTCACATGGATTCTCAACCCTGCCTCGTGAAAGAAACAAAAAGGAATCCAAGTGAACGTAGGAGATACACAAATTTAAAATTCGTTTCGTGAAAATAATATCTATGTCGAATCAATTGCTACAGAGCTGATCATTTCGAAAATTACATCAGAATAATTTCTGAATGATAAAGGCTTTCTTTGAAATTACAATTTATATTAAGCTTTTTTTAACCTCATGTTCCGAGTTTTTTTTAAACATATCTTTTATTTTCCAGTAATTCCTCCGAAAATCGATGATTTTCAATCGATCAATCATTTTCATGGAGCTTATGTGATCTGTGAAAAATTACCCATTAAGCTTTCAAAACCCCGACTCATACAAATTTTGAAATACGGCATCCTTCTTGAAAGGATAAAATCTATCGGCCGAAGCACCTCCGCACATACAGGTTCGATTCCCAAAGAAAAAAAAAAAAATTCGTGCAAGCGTCACAAATTCCTCAACGAATTTTTCTTCAAAACATTTCAGACGAGATCCGCATTCAAATGACGAACCTCGAGGGAAAGCTTCTTCATAAACGGAGCAGCAGCCATCGCAATCCGTTTCCCAGTCACCGTGCTACCCGTAAATGACACGACGGGTACGTCTGGATGGGAAACGAGTCTTTCCCCGACCCCGGGTCCCGTGCCAAAGACCACGTTGACAACCCCGGGCGGGAACCCGACCCGTGACACCAAATGACACAGTTTGAACGCAGTCACGGACGTCATTTCGCTGGGCTTGCAAACGATTGTGTTGCCGGCCATCAAGGCCGGCGCCATTTTGAAAGTGAGCAGGTACAAAGGGAGGTTCCAGGGGCTGATGAGTCCGCAGACCCCGACAGCTTCTCGCTCAGTCCAGTTGACGGCAGAGAATTCTTCTTGGACCTTCGATCTGAAGGAATACAAACGGGCAAATCGATAATGCACTCGAACCTCTTCAAGGGACCAGCAAGCAAAAAATGAAGTTTGGTGTATTCTGGGCATTGAATTGCTTTTTAAATGACTTGACGGGATACTGAACTTGGAGGTGAGGATCCATTTGCCAAATTGTTCTTTTGCGTTCCTTCAAAACACATCGAATGAGACAGTCTCTTTGGTAAATTCGCAATATTTAAAAGACAACAACAAAAACACATTTACTGTAACTATGCACTAACTTTCCAGTTTGATGCGGAACAGCCCTGGCAAAAAGCCTGAAATTCGTCACAGCTCTCGGGATGTCCACAGCCTTGGCCAACCAGAGAGGCTTTCCCTGGTCCCGGGATTCCAACTCGGCCAATTCGTCCGCATTTTCTTCAATGGCATCGGCAAGTTTCAGCAGAAGATCTGCTCTTTTCGCTATCGGCGTAGAAGACCAACTGCGGAAAAGGAGCAAACGGGAACCTTTAGATATTTTCGAGCAATGAAGGGAGAAATTCTGAAAATGTAACACTTCGAAAAGGAGAAGTTACTGCAGTAGAACCTTTTTCAGTCGAACTTCAAAGGACAAGCAAAATAAAAATTACACGTTCGCGAGGTTCAGATTTAAGTAAACAAGCATTTTTTTTTGGGTGAAAAAGGAAGAATTACAGGAAATTTTAATTTGTGATATTCTCGGGCTTAAATTGATTCTTGAATGAGTTGATAGGATGCTGCATTTGGAGGCAAGGGTTCATTTGCCCAATTAGTCTTTCACTTCCTTTCAAAACACATCAATTTACATTTTTTATTGCTCTTCTCTTTTGTGCGCCAATAAAAAAATGCCAAAAGGCCTCAGAAAATTCGATCTATGGATCTTTTAGAGGAAACGCACACAAGGTAAAGATGTTTTCAATGTATTACTTCTAATGGAATTCTGACAGAGACTTGAAAAAAAAAATTTGACAAAGGGTGGTTTGAGTTATTGAGGCTTTACAAGGATTTTTTGGTACTTTCCTGTTATCTCTGTACCTTCCCTCTGACCAATTTAACCTGACCTAACCTAACCACCTCCCAAAATCAGTTTCTGCTGAAACTGATTTTGGGAGGCGGTTATGTAAAGTTAGGTTAGGTCAGGTTATCTTAATTAAAAGATATTTGTAACTAACATAACCTGACCTAACCTAACTTTACCTAACCGCGTCTCAAAGTCAGTTTCAGCAGAATGCAGAAAAATAAAATTCAGTTTCTGGTAGGTTGTTGTGGTGATGAACTTGTCCTAAAGATTTGTCTGGATGGTAGTGCGGTCTTGCAGAGTAGGTACTGAGATAACAGGAAAGTACCGATTTTTCTGCATCACGAATTTTTCTTCCGTCCCATTCGGTTCTCTTCCCATTTTTCTCTCTAAAACAAATACTTTTCTGGTCCCTTGAATTTCGTTTTACAGAGAGTTCACCTGTACACTGTAGAGTACTCAAATAAAATTTCGCACGCAAAAAAAAAAGAAGAGGAAATTAGAGCCACTCAACTGTTCAAAGGCACTTCGTGCAGCAGCAACAGCGCAGTCAACAGAGTCGGCTGAACTGTCCGGTATGCTAGCGAACAGTTTCCCAGTCGCCGGCTCGAAACTGTCCAAACACGCCACCGGCTCCACAAACACTCCCCCGATAAAATTCTTCACCAGCAAGACACTCATGTTTCCAACACTGGCAAGCAAACTGAAGAGGAAAGCAAATATATCACCGAGCCTTCAATTAATGATTTTTTTTTAACACACTCAACAGCTGGACATTCATCGCAAGCAACAGCACCACGGGAAATCTCCCAAAACCCAAACTCCTGTCAATCTAAATCGACTTTCGTTTTATAAATTTAGTTTTATTTAAAAAATTCCGACGAAAAATTCGACAAAGGTCAAGTATCAATTAACTCATCCTCCTCAGGCTTCGTGGATAAGTTTAAATTGTGAATGAAAATAAACGAAGAAAATTCGAAATACCATGCGCAAATGTGACGAAGATCGGGCCACTTTAATCTTTGATTATATAGTATTTTTTGCAGTGAAAGTTTCGTCATAAAATGGCTCGACGGAATCATTTCGCTAAAACAAAAATTGAAAAGTGAGTCTTCATTTGCAGTTCATCATTGCCATTTCTTACTTGAAGATATTGCCGAAATTTCAGATTTGGTGCACTTTTTTAATTCATCCGACGAAGAAGTCTGGGATATATATTTTAAAATATAGGAGAATCTTAGATTCACCAGGAACTAAAATCCAAGCTGAAGTTTACAACTAGTGGAGTCTTCCACACGTAGACTCTCTCTACAACGAAATTCCCCGTATACATAATTTTTTTGGTCCTGTAAGGATCTCTACCGAATTTACAGAAAATCTTCACAATGAATTTTTTTTTCTGGGCCCCTGAATTTTGTTGTAGAAAGAGTCCATTTGTATTTGATGCATCAATGAAATAATTTCTCAAGGAAATCCCGTGGATGCTGTTCCCGAGTTTCGACCGATCATAAACGAGGCTTTCCAAAGCTTCTTTTCGTTTCTTCCTTTCAATATATAAGCTCAAAGCGGCCGGTTCATCAAAACAAAAGCACGGCCGAAAATAGCTTTGTTACGTCTCCCCACATTGCACATTTCTCACTTCCAAACGGACTAAAACCCGGGCAACGATCGCCAAGAGAAACAATCCCTGGATTCGCGTCCATCGTTGTAAAAGAAAAACGAAAGCTTTCAGCTCGCGTGAACAACTTCCAACTCGGCAACCCCGAAAAATATACTTGAAAAAACAAATTGGCACAAAAAATCGAACCTAAATTTCTTCACTCGTGGACACCAAATTCGTCCAGAGGAAAACACAACCCAACTATACAGAACACACTAATTTTNACTCGGCAACCCCGAAAAATATACTTGAAAAAACAAATTGGCACAAAAAATCGAACCTAAATTTCTTCACTCGTGGACACCAAATTCGTCCAGAGGAAAACACAACCCAACTATACAGAACACACTAATTTTCGATCCACGTTCACTCTACAATCGTACGTACCCCGTTTTTCATACAACGAGGAATAGAACATCAAGTGAAAATGTATTTTTCGGAAAAAGGTAACTACGCCACAAAACTCGTGGAAATGTAGGGTGTCGAAAAAGATACAGTACATCAAAAAAGTAAGAATTCTTTGATGCGTCAGACGGTCAGAATCTTGCGCGAAACGAAGGACATTCAATCGGTGAAACCACATCGAAAAAATTGGAAAATTCTAGCATCAAGAAAAAAGTTTTGAAAAAAGTCTTCTTCTCTTTTCAGAAATTTTACAGCGAATATAAGAACACTGGTATGCGTTTGAAGAAATTTTCTAACGAATAAGAGAGAAACTCAGAAGCAGATGAAAATTTGGTCAACTCCGTGAAGAATTTGAAAACCTCTGTAACTACCAGCGACATCTACCAAACTAGAACATAATTGAAAAACAGGAGGCTCTCTCTACATAAGTGCTGTCCAAATCAGACATGGTCAAGAGCCACACTGCAGAGGTGGAGAGTCCTTGCAGGCAACAACAGACAATTTCTAAGGTTCAAAATTCCCCCCCCCCCCTTTCAAATAAAAATTTTCAAATTTAATTTGGAGCTAAGAATTGAATCGGAGGCATAGCCTTAGAGCAGGTTTGAAGGGCGAAGCAACATTTAGAATTTTTGAATTCATTTTTCAATACATCCTTTGAATAGCAACAGCAGCAATTGTGAAAATTACATGGAAAAGACAGCAGGATGGATGAAGAGTCTTCTGTGGGCCAGATCTGGCCAGCAGGCCATATGTTGGACAGCAATGGTCAACAACAACGTTGTCTACAACAATTTTCTCTGCATAAAAATTGTTTTCTTGTCCCCAAGGATTTTCTACCCATCTCATTGGGGTTGTCCACAGCAAAATTCGCTCTACAACACATTTTTTTCTGGTCCCCTTGAATTTTCTTGCCAAGAAAGTCCAACAATAATATTCCAAAATTCTCACTGAAGAGTCCATTTTTTCATCCTTCAAGTAAGTTTAGGTGGTATGTCACACAGGAGGGATTCTGAAGCAGACCAAACTTGTGATGACTCAGTTCAAAACTAAAATCAGTTTGTGTGATAGACACGTTATCACATCACCAGACTCCCACAATGCACAGTAACTTTTCGCACACCTCACATTTCTTTTCCAGGGGCTCGGAAAGTTCTCTTGGAATGGAAAAAAAAGAAAACTCACGCACAATTTTCCCCTCCCACAAAATATTCACCAATAGAACGGAGAGATAAAAAGTTGAATTCAATCATCGACGCGTTTCCGTCACGCCTAGAATTCTGGGGTTGCCAGTAGGACGAGCGTGATACACGCACGATACACACAGACGCACACACAAAAAAAAAAAAAAACGCTAACAGCATCTCGTCATCAGTTGTCAGCTCCCAACAAGTTCTTGAAAACTTCGTAGGACGCGTTGATAATGCCCCAACTCACAAGCGCCCTCGTGTAGTTCAAGTGCACGCCGTAGTACATCTTCACGCCGCGTTCGCGATAAATCTCCACAAAGGTCTCCACAATGCCGCGGAACCGACCGCCGACCCGGGCCTGGATCCGAGTCTTCACCACGTTCACTGGGTAAAACAGCGTGGAGATGAAGGCGCCGATGACGGCGCCGTTGAGGAAGTCGAACACGAGGTTGCCGTACCACGTGGCGAGCGGGGAAAAGGCGTCCTTGGTTTCGCGACGCAGTCGGAAAAAGAGGCAGTTGGACGGGCCGTTGCGCAAGAGGATGGGCACAGCTCCGCGATAGTATTCCTTGATGCCGAATCTCCAGAGTGACCGGAAGGCGCCCATCGTGTTCCGGAACTTGTGGTGATAGCGTTTGTCTTGCATCAACACCTGCGAAACTCATTAGGAACGCGGAAGGAAGGTCACCACACGACGAACTGCTTCAAATAGTGCTTACAGATAACGGGGGACTCTTAAAAGTCCGGTTTGCCATAAAGAAATACAGTGAGACCCCCGACATATGGACTTCATTAGGAACGCGGAAGGAAGGTCACCACACGACGAACTGCTTCAAATAGTGCTTACAGATAACGGGGGACTCTTAAAAGTCCGGTTTGCCATAAAGAAATACAGTGAGACCCCCGACATATGGACGATTCGACTTCGGGACACTTCGCCCACATTTTCCAGAAAAATCAAAAAAATTTTCATTTTTACTTTTTTATATCTCTACTACGGTATTTATATTCAAAAAAAATTGATGATCCATTTCGTTAAGAATTTACTCTTATTCATAATCACTAACAGACTGATTTTGTGCTTATTTTTTCAGTTTTTTCTATCATCTGGGCACAGTATAGCAAGACTTGCTCTTTGTTTTTGAGCTCCTTTTGTGGCCAAAAATTCAGATTCTATGTGACTTTCTTAACATAGTTGTTCTCTGTAACTTCATGTTGAGAGAAGCAATTTTTGGGAGACGTAATCCTATTTTTTTTCATCAACGGGGGAACCACTTAAAATACGTTTGAATCGAAGTCTATGGGAAAACGTGATCCGACATAGGGTCAAGGTCCAAGCACCAATCACGTCCGCATCTCAGGGTCCCACAGTACAGTAAAATCTCGTTACAAGGAAGCGATAGGGTTCGGGAAAAATCCTTCGTTGCAACAATGAATTCGTTACGAAGCGATTTGAATACGTTTGTTGCTATTGGGCAGGGATCTGAAAAATGAATTCGTTTCAACAAATAACTCGTTATAAGGACATTCGTTGTTATGAGATGATACAGAACTCATTCAACAGCACACTGATACTAAAATGGACGCACACATTTTGCAATACTGAAATTCGATCTCGACTTTTCGAGCTATAACCCCGAAAAGTGCCCAAAATAATGGGGTCTCACTTTAAGATCCCCGAATAACCCAGTTGAAAGTTTTGATATTGATTCTACGCCATCAAAACGAAATGAGCATCAAGAAAGACCATCTAAGATTCTAAGTATTCTAATTAGTGATTTTTTTTACTCAAACGTGTTCACTAGCACATGAAAATAAAGTTCAGGAAAAGCAAAACAAGATTTAAAAAAAAAAAGGGATAAAACGTATTCATCTAAAGAATGTCTCGATACAGATATCTTGCATAAGGTTTCCAAGATTTTTGAAAATATCCTCGCAGATGTACAGTAGTGTACTCAAATTACGGTACTCAAGTTGCACGATTAAACGAATTTTCCCCGAATCATGCATTTTTCGTACGATTTCAATCGGACCAATTCACACAAAATTCAATCGATTCCACAGCAATAATGAGGTTTTTTTTCTTTTCTTCAAATACATCAGTTTAATAATCTTTTGCGTTATTTCAGAAGACAAAAGTATTCCAAAAAAACGTACTTGGACACGCTCGAAAGGCGTGAGAATGGCTTCGCACGAACCAGCCGCTAATGCAGCGATAACCTCTCGGGAATTCGGTCCCAGGCCGTAAACCGGGTGCGTTTCAAGAAACCGTTGCGACGTGTGGAACATGCCCCACATAATGGACCCGGAAAGAGTCTTCATGAACAAAGGCGGTGGGAGTCCTCGATACAAATGCAGAATGCCTTCTTTCCGCAACATCCTCACTGCCCTCTTCATCTCCACGCCATGCAACATCTGCGGAAATTGAAAATAGTCACAACAAGGATATAGGAAACTCATCAAATCTTCCCTCAAGAAATTTTCAACGGGAAAATCCCAGGGATCGAGGAGAAAACCCTCTCTTTGAGACGCCGCTAATCGGTTCAACATGGGAACCGATTTCTCCTCAAGGACGCCATGACAGGCACAATAATTCAACGAGGAGTAATTCTTTGAACTGAAAATACAGTCGAAAATAGGCTGCCAACTTTTGGCTCTTGCGGTTTCTCGCATTATAAAGCGGTTTGTGGTTCACCGAAAAAATCAAAATAATTCGAAAATCGAGTATAATTTGAAATAAAATTCTGATCCCTCTAGAAAAAAAATAATAACCTAGGGACACGTAAATTATATATAAAGAACGTTCCCAATAAGCAAATTGTGTCATCCTTACGTGTTCCTCATTAATTTGAGACATCTCACAGAAACTTCAATCAATTTTGGCGGGGTATCAAAGACCAAATTAATCAACAGAAGCATATTCGAGTTGTCAATAATTTTGGCGGATGGCGCTTCAACAGGGTTTCCAATGGTATCATCATCAGGGAAAAATTTGTTTTTCAAAATTAATTGGCAGTTGCAGAAGTTTGCGGTTTATCTGATGACGTCTTAACGTGGTGTGACTGAGAAGTTTAAAAAATCTTTTCCGAAACAAAAGCCTTCTAGCTGTTCTGCTTCAGCCGTTTTTTTTTTCCAAACGAGAAATTCAAAGCGCAGACAAAAAAATTCCATTCCACGACATTTCATAGACAAAAAAAAAAATTGCCGCATTAAATTCAATATGTCTCTTTTCAACCGACTCCGGAAATTCCGTGACCGACGAATCAAAACAGAAAATAAGCCCGCTTTTCTTTTCCCGCTAGCGTCAACAAACCTGGCGGAACATGATCTTGTTGAGCGGGAAAGTGACGGTGATGTTGACGAAGGCGGCGCCCCATCCGGCGGCGTACTGACGCCAGTCGACAGCGTCGCGCAAGGGACGCCTCGACCCGTCTCCACGCTGAACCGCCGCCGTCGATGACGACGACGACGACTTCGCTGTCTGGCCCGAGCATTCCACGAGCCGTCCGAGTCCGCTGAACATCAATCACTCCAACGACCACGGGGGGATAAACAACCAATCGCCTTTCCGACGACGAATCATGCGGCGGACGACCCCGGGCCAATCTTGCGTCGAAAAATGAGCACAGCTTCTTTTCTCCTCAATTTTGTTCTCTCTCTCTCTTTCTTGTTTTTTTTTTTTTACGATTCGCAAAATTCTCAGTTTACTGTTCTCTCGCTCGCGGCTCGCGACACGGATCTCGGTCGACTCCTGGCCGAGGAACTTTGGCGCATCGCAAGACACCCAAAAAATACCCTGCAAATACACAAACACGACCTCACTTGGCATCAATTGAAAACCTTTTCAGCTTATTTTTTTAGGAAAACAATGCACCAACGGCTCGTTTAAAAAAAAAGGCTCACACAAAACTGCGAAACGCCACAAGAAATATTTCGCACAGCACAATCTTCTTCCTTTTTCTACCCTCACCCCTCCATCAAGCGCGTCACGCCTTATTTTTCTGAGTCCACTATAATGACAGAAATTGGCTTCACGAATGCTCACAGCGTGGATATTCGATATGATTCAAATTTAAATAACCCCACATGAAGCAACACTGACACAAGTATACGCAATCGATGGAAGAACTCGCGTTTTTTTTTTTTGTGCAATCCGTCCACCTGGAAGTGATTCATGAGTCAGCTTTTGGCACGTTCGCGGAAAAGAAGATACAGTAAATAAATTTGAAAACGTACCGAGGGGTCGAAAAAATTAAATTTGCTACACAGAATATTTTGCTTCGGAGATGCTGCTTAAACACCGACAAGTCTCATAGCACCAGGAATAAAATCGGAGTGAATTACTCAAGAAAAGACCACTGTAGAGAGATTCCACCGAATGCTAACAATTATTCTTCATATTTTTTTTTCCAACGACATTAACCAAAAATGCAAAACGTCAACATAATATCAGCAGGAATAAATGAAAAAAGTACAGCTTAACCATCATTCAATTATCTTCGGTTCATAAAACTTCGACTTCAAGTCACAATTATTTTTCAAAAGCAAGGGAGAGACTTCAATCGGAAACCTCTTAGCTTCTTTCCTAGCTGAACAAAAATCACTCCTTCAAACCAAAATAAAACATATTTTCGATGCAAAAAAAAAAGAAGCAGAAAACCCTCCACAAAGCGGAGAAAAAAAATCTGCAATTTCTGGAGAATTGATTTATTTGAATTTAGAATCAATTTAAATAAAATCAAAGAAATTTAAATGCGAAACTAAATATTGATAATGAAGGAACTTCAAGTTATTTCCGAAACCTCACGGAAGTTTAAAAAAAAATGGTGTTTTGCTTATTTTTAGAACTTTTGAACATTCTCTTCGATAATCAAGACCTCACCACGTCAACATTAATATGGCACGAATTATTTTGCTTCTTATCCCCAAAAAAAAAAAAAACAAGCAAGAATAATGCTTCATCAGAAGAAGGAACAGCCAACAAGGGAAAATACTGGTTCTATCTCGATCCCAAACCGGTTAAAAGGTCGTGACGTCGCATTGAAGGAAATTAATCCTCAGCTTGTTCTTTTTTTTTCTTGCTCCTCAAATCCCGATTTCACAGAAGAAAAAAAGATGCAATACACGAAAACACAAAAAAACAAAAGAATCTCCGGAAAGACTCGGAATTCAGTTAGTTGCATACGGACAACTCCTGCACACTCAATCCGTGGGCAGTGAGCAATGCCATGTAATGAGATTCCCCGACAGTGAACTTTTTGGCGTCCAGCACCGGCGCCTTCGTTGGAATGCGCTGCAAACTGCGCCCCGACCCGGCATCGTACATCCCCGCCGACGACCCGTCAAAGTCCGCCACCACGACAGCCGCCTCGCGATTAAACGGATTCCCAAACATCAAACTGCGACACAGTTTCCCAGAGTCCTTCGCCCCGCGAATCGACGTGACGGTGCCAAAGGTGCAGGACAAACCGCCTTCAGCCATTTTCTGTGAGATCTGGCCCACGCAGTGTTTGGCATACGGGGAAGTGGCGCAGGCGCGTTTGGACAGCAACGCGTGTCGGGTTTGGTTCTCAAACTCCACGTACGTGAAGGAATCCGCGCCTGCGGGCACGACGACCGTGCCTCGGTTGGCGTTGTTGTAGAATAGCACGGTTTTGAGGGTGCCGACCAAGAGGCCGCCACTGGGGAAAAGGTTGTCCCTGGTGTCGGGAAGTGCGTAGGCAAGACTCACCACACCGGGTCCCTTCGTGGCACAAACCGTCTCGCAGACCTCGTCGAATTTCCTCACGTCGTACTGACGAACGATTCCATTTTGAAGTCTGCGGAGCACGAAAACAATGGTGAGACTTCTCTCCAATTACATACAAAATACAATTGAACCTTGATAACTCGAACATCCTGAAGTCAAAATATTTTCTAGTCCCCATCTGAATTCCCTTAGAAACAATACATTAAAAATCTAAAAACTGTAACTCAAAAGGCATTTCCTCTTAAACATCCATAACTAGAATTTTCACCTTTTTGCTATAACCGTATTTACTTCAGTGACATGCGCCCTCAAGTAAAGCGCGTACAGGGGTTTTTCAGTTGGAAATTTTGATAAAATCTTATCCCCGAGTAAGATGCGCGCCCCTATTTCTAGTGAATCTGAAACCACAAAATTTTGAAAATAAAATCAAAAAAATTAACTTTAGACATAAATTGAACAATAATCTGATCAATTTTCAACTGTTTCGGTACAAAAAGTTTCTTGTTACATTTGTTCCAAATTTCTCCATCATAATTAAGTATGATGCACACATAACTTCCAAAAACTTCTTAGAAAATTTGTACCCGCTTATGACACGCACCCCTTTATTCTTCTGAAATTTGAGAAAAAAGGTGTGTGTAATACTCAATTAAATACGGTATTTTCTTGACACAGGAAAGACATACGCAATAAAAAAGTAACTTGATGTGTTTTGAAGGGAAGTGGAAGACTAATTGGGCAAAAAAATACCAGTCTCCAATTCTGTTATCCTGTCAACTCATCCAAGAAGCAATTCAAGTCCCAGAATATCACCATTTAGAATGTCCTGCAATTCAACGTTTCCTGCAAGAATCTTTGCTTCCCTAACTCAAATCTTTGGCTGGTCCCTTGAAATTCGACTTAGAAAGGTTCAACTGCAATTCAAATCGACGGGAGCCTCGGTCACTTATGGAAGTGATTCATAAGTTACTGAACAAATTTTCTCCCAAACCCCTAAAATTTGCTTCGTAAAATTTCGGACTGATACGAAGACTTACCCCAAAATTAAGTCTAAAGATCGAACATAAACGAACCTGATCATACGTGACTGAACAGTTTATATAGCAGACATTCTTGACATTTTTTTTTTTTAGTTTCTTGGAAAAAATCGATTGAAACGGTGAAATAAACACTGTAAGTTACAGACTTAGTCAAACCTTAATTCACCGCCACCAGTTATTTGAGAGGATTGCGGCAGTTTAAAAGCGTTGGTTGTTCATCAAAAATGTCATATTAAAATGAAAATGTAGCATAACATGAAATAAAATTCTCATCCTTTCAGAAAACCATCAAAATAACTGGGGATACTTCAATTAGATTCAGTGAATGTTCTTGAATTATGTCATCATTGTAAGTTATGTCATCTTTGTGTATGTGTTATGAATCGGAGACATCTCGCAAAAACCTAAAACATGTTGGCGGGGTATGAAAGACAAAATTAATTGGCATGGGCATATTTCAAACGTCAGTAATTCGGGTTGATGACATTTTAATGGGGTTCCAATATTATCATTAAGAAAGATTTGTTTTTCAAAATAAATTGGCTGTTTCTGAGACTTCGCGCCTTTTTTGGGTGGGGGGAGGGGGTCCTGTCGAGTTTCACAATAATATTTTTTGAGCCTCAATTTATCCAGAGTTCTCTTGGAACACATACAATGCATCAATTCAGCCTACAGTGCAGCACGTAATCAAGTTTTTTTTCATCTTCCCCTATCGCTCAACTTACTAAACTGTTGCTTGAGTGGACAGGAAAGCCTCAAGGGCCCTACAAAGCACAAGAAGAGACCTTCTGGTGAATGAGTGAAACTCGGGTTTCCTACAATACCCGAAGTCCCAAATTTGACACGACACTGACAATAAAAATATTTAAAAAACACTCAAGGGAAGCTAGAAAGCAAATGCGTACCCAACATAAAGCAGTTTAGGTTGAACGGGATTCCAACAACACGCCCAGATCGGCTGGTCTTCCCCGGCAGAATTCACGGCATTCTTCGTCCGCACATCATAAATCTTCACGGCCTGGTCCAAAGACACAGTCAACACCAAGTCTTCGTCGTCCGGGGCAAAGGCGACGTCACGAATCTCCTTCCCGTGGAGTCCAATGAAATCTGCAGACTTCATCCCGCCAGCCTTGAACTTCTTCAAGCCAAATTTGAGGTTTGTGAACAGGGACGAGGGATGAGACATGGACACGACGCCGTGAGTTCCGCCGGAAGAATAGGCTAAAACTCGGCAAGTTCCGGTCTTGGAAAGTTCGCAAGTGTCCACGCATTTGGCTCCGATGCGGGAAGAGACTTGAATGGAAACCGGTTGATCGTCTCGCACTCGTTGAACTCGCAGCATTTCGTTCTCCTTCTCCAACCGAGAGATTCGATCTCGGTAGCAAATCATTTGCAATCTGGAAAAATAAGCACGTACAACTCAAAAATATAATATTGTAACACAGTACAGTTGAAACTCGATAACTGGAACTTCCCGAAGTGAAATGCCACGGAATATCGAATTTTTTTCTTCGAATCCCTGTCTGCATTCCCTTGGAAACAAAGCATTAAAAATTTTCCCGAACTCAACGGCTTTCCCGCTAAGAATCGAATTTTCCGTAGGACTTCCATCTATAATTTTATCAACACAGGAGAAAGAAAAGCAATAAAATAGGCAACTGGATTTGCTTCAAAAGAAACCAAAAAGTCTAATTGGGCAAATTAACCCTTGCTTTCAACTTTAGCATCCTGTCAGCTCATTAAAAAAGCAATTCAAGGCCCAGAATATCACCGTTTACAATTTCCTGCAATTTTTCGATCTTACTCACAAATAAAAATGCTCGTTTGCCCACCTCGAATATTTTTTTTGCTCCCTTGAAGTCCGACTTGAAGAGTGTTGACTGTAATTCCACCGGATTTCTCAAAAGAACTACGAGTCACTGAATCATCTCGAATTTCATCGAATGAAATCCACCACTTGATAACCAAGCAAACATCAACTCGTTGAGGAATAAATAAATTTGATAATTATTTCGTGAACTCTCAACCAATCCATGAAAACTATTTTTAAACAAACTATAAATTTTAGGAAGAATCTTCATCACACATTCATGATTATAAACTTTTCCAGATCGTCCTCACATAGAACAGTCCTACGGGCCTGGGAAATTGTCACAGCACTTCGTTTGAAGATCTTTTTCAGCGGTGGTCTTCATTTCAATTTCTGAAATTCTCATCCTCCTTTCAATCTCTCAACTGCAGCGAATCTGTATAATGAACTACAGTGAAACAATCTAAAGTGAGCAAAACGCGCCTCAGCTTACGACTCAAGTCTAACTAGTCCTCGAAAATGACAAACTTCACAGAACAATCACGGAGAACTAAGCAGTTTCAACGATTTGAAGAAACCATCACAAACATAACACGTACTCGTATTGGTTGATGACAATATCCTTTTCTTTCAGCATCCGAACAAGATTTTCTGCTTGGCCTTTTAAGTTTTCCACTTCCGAGTTGTCCATCGCAATTAATGCAGAGGCGTACAGTATTCGGATGTCGCTCAACTTCGCTTTGCTGTTGCACTGAGGACATTTCCGATGCTGCTCTAAACACTTCCGCACGCAGATGTCCCCGAAAATGTGTCCGCATTTCAGGGAAACCAGCCTGTGCGGCCCCATCGAGGTATAAGGTTCGAAACATATCACACAAGAGTCCGGTTCAGCGACGGAATCCTCTTCAAGTAATCGAGGTCGTTCTACAAAATGAGAGGTTCAGAGAATCAATGGATTTCCTCCTTTGAACAGTGGTTGCAATAAATGTGGGTGTCCACGACTGACGACTGGCGAGGGAAGTACCAAACAAATTTGAAGTACAACCAAAAACCGTAAGAAATTCACTTACTGAGACTCCTCCTGCTGGATGAAAACAACGGACTGGGCATGGTAGGAGTTTTTTCCAGCGGGAATGCGTCTTGCACTACAACTGGCGAGAACGCAATGGCTGAACCAGGTTGTTCGGCGGGAATGGAGTCATTTACATTCACCGCATCATCTTGAGCTGGGATTTCCACGGGAAGCGCATCTTCAGCGAGAAAGTCCAGAACTTCCGCCGCCTGTTCAACGTCATAAAGCAGATATGAATCCATCGAGGAATGGTGGGTTAAAGATCACACGAAATACTCACCGGGTTTAATTCTTCCACAATAACGACTTCATCCATGCTCACATTCAAGTTCTATTCGTTACATAGCTTAGCGAACTAAGCTACAAGTAAGGTACACATTCTGTAAAGACTTCACCGCGGGGAATATCAAGCGTCTGCGCATCAAAACAATTGAAAATCGCACCCGATTAGAATATCAGGTAGTAACCCCCTAGGACCCGGCAACGTGAGTTCTCACAGCTCAGGAAACAAGAAGACAGCCCATGGTCCTCTGAAAAAATGTATAATGTTATGCCCTGTAAATCAATCTTGTCGAAGAAATACTGGTCGACAGTCCAAGAATTTCAAGCACATAGCTTCCACAAAGATAATGAATCCGATTTAATGCATTATCACATTCTTCAGGGCGATGACGGATGGCTCGAGTTAGTTTAAGAACTTTGCAAAGAGCTACTGCTCAGGAGCACACAGAACAGACGTGACAGTTTGGTTTTGTACAATAAAGGACAGTTTTTTGTACAGTGATGATGGTGACTTGCCTAAAACCAATGGTGCAGTGTGTTTGCAATATAGATGGGAAAAACGTTCATTTATAGGCGAGTGACTTTTTTTTATAATTCTATTCACCTCTATATATTCAACCCTGAATCTAAAAAATACTGGAGAAGATATTACCATGTACAGTATATACTGCATATAGTCCTGTGCTGGTGCCCTATTGAGATTTGGAATTGGACCTTTTGTCTGCATCGCAACATCCCTACACCATCACGTTCTCCCTAGCATATTCAATAGAAACATTTAAATGATTTTCAGAATCTTATAATGTATGCATAGACAATAACTGTTGTGCAGCAGAAGGATACAAGTAGCAGAAATGAAGCATACATTCAGAAAAGGAATGCCTTTCATGTATGGTACTATATATGCAATAAGGATTCAAAATCACAAATACTGTATATACAGCGGGTCAGCGGCGCAGATATCTAGGTACAAAATATGCACACAGTTGATGCAAAATCTTCAAATTTTCTTCATCAAAATTCTTCCCATTTAATATAAAATTCACGTCACTTGAAAAATCAAACTTGAAAAGATCATTATAAAAAAATTAATTAAAAATCTGGTATTTTAAAAATTGTGTTAACAAACAGATTTTCAACTGATGGATAAATGTATACTGTTCAGGAATGATTACCCTCAATCAATAATTAATCAACCATTCAAGAGAACAAATAACGCAGAATTTCACCTACAAAGAATAATAAGTCCTATAAATCAAAATTTGCCTCATTATGCACAAAACACCCATACATCAGGAACACTGCAGATGAAACAATTTGGCATCACACAGAAAACGACACATATCGTCCAACTCAAAAGATAAATTGATAAAATCAGGATTCCAACTATTTTTCTACAACTATAAATATTGTGTAAACCCCTGTACACGTAATGAAACTTTACAACTTTGAGATGGCATCGCGGCAGCACCAATTCCACATACCTATCTTGCCAGACCAGAAAACGAAGAAGAAACCGCGCCACGCCACAGAGTTCTCAGAAGCAAGGAATGAGGTGAGGCCCCATCTCGCCGGAGCAGAACTCTTGGTTGTCTGGACTCTTCGCCACTGCGTCCCCATCCCCTCACGCCCTGCACCCAACACTCTCTCTCCTGTGGTTGCGCATGAGTGACTTCAAGAATCAGGAATAAATCCCTTATGCAGGAAGGGGTGTAGCAGGTGACTCCATGTGAGAAAAAATGATTTCTCCACATATTTGTGAAATGATATGATGGGATGTTCCATGGGTCTTAGATGTCAGGCATATTTTCTTATAAATGTGGTTTGACAATAAGTGCATTTGACTAGTTGTATTCAATTGCGGGTTTGACAAGTGCCTCTTCTACTGAGGCCTGCTTGACATCAGTTTCATTGAACTTGGGCATTTTATTACTTCAAGCAAGGAATTAGCTTCAAAAGTTTCCAACAATTTTGTTTCATGGGTTTAGAATGACCAATATTGTTCAGCAATAACAGTACTGCTGAGGTCTTGATGTCAATTTTTTATTGAGCACACAAGATAATTTCTTGGACACTGCCTGTATTATTCAGATACAACAATCTAATTCTAATCAGGGGAAGGCTTCAAAAAAATACAATAATTGACCAGTTCAGGAAGACAGGAGTTTTTGACACAAGGATCAAATTCTGCTGCAAAAACTATTGTTGCAGTACTCTATATTTATGTCAATGCATGAAATATATATTCATATTTATTGTGGATGTACTTGTTCAAATCAAATTGTCAAACAGTCCTCACAACCAGTCAAGTTGAGCTCCATCTGTATCAACTTTTCAAACCACAGTTCAAGAAGGTTTGCACTTTCAAATATGATTAGTGTAGAAGCTAGAGGATAAAGCTTTGTAACACTTGAATGACAAAAAAGTGGACTCCTGTATACTGTGAAGAAGTTGTCCTGTGACACCCTTTATTCCAGTGTGAAAATCCTTACTAGACCTGGTATAACTATAGTCCCGTGACACCACCCAGCGCACTGTAAACTCGAATCCTCAAGTCGGTCACTAGTGTGCGTAAAGAAGAGAGTGACAAGAAGAGGGAGTGAGGGTATGGGGGGTGCATTGGCCTAGAGTTTTGCTGACCAAGAGTTCTGCTCCGGCGAGAAACTACACCACCTGGAATGAAGTGGCAACATAGAGCTGTTCAGTGTACCTCTCTCTCTCTCTCACTTTCCAGCATGTCTTGGAAGGAGGGAGCTGGTCTTGAGGGACCTTTTGAGTGGGCTGGGACGCTATGGCGGAGCATCGACTTTCCTTTCTTCATAGATGAGACATAGACAGAGGACATTCATTTGATTTAAAATCAAAATCAAATCTGCAACATCCTGTGCCTTGATAAATTTTCCTACATTCTGCGAAGGTTTAAAATAAGAATATCAAAATGATCATGATGTTTTATTCAGTGTATTTATGCGTCCATATTCATCCAAAATTTGAACTTTTGAAAATATTCCTCATCCCTCGCACGATGTAAAGATCAATAATGTACAGTGTATATGTAAAGATATTCAGTTTCAATGCACCTGTGATGTCATGGATTCTCATGGATTTTTCACTTGTGCGTAATTCAAGTTGATCATATTCTCTTTTTTGCATTTTTCCAGGGAGCACAACTATAGTTCTTTAAAAAAAACATCAAACAACAGTTTCCACTACAATAACATTGTTCATGAATTATTTTTCTGCATACCTTCAGTCTGCTCACATATTTTTACCTTTTTGTGAGATTTCATCCCAGATGTATCAGTAACAACACTATAGTTGATGAATACAGATGGGTGCATCTGAATGATTTCCTGAGTTGAGTTATTAATTGATTGATTTGTTGGGTGCTGCTTGGTATGTACTTGAGTCCTAACTTCTTGTGTTTGGGAGTTGGATTTTCTTCAGGGAGTTATTGTCTCCAAACTTGAAAATACTTACATGTACACTGGGCTATTGGCAGCTCCTCAGCATCCAACCCCTAAATTATTTGCTGGGGTGAACCTCAAACATAAATTTTTATTAATCATGCATACATGTATTGGTGCCTTTGTGCCTATATGTATGCATAATATTGAGCCCCATATTGAGCTTAAGGGGCTTTATTGGTGAAAGCTTTCTAAATGATTTTTAAAATTGGCCTATATATATAAGTATATACAGTGTTTATAAATATGGAGATACACGAGAAAGGCCTCGCCAAAATGCTTCTGGCAGCAATTATTATATGCACTGCATGAAAAATAGCATGTGCTGTATGATGCTGACGGGTTTTAGATTGAAAAATCGTAATTTTCTTGGAACTCCGACGATGAAGGAAACAATAAGTTCCCCCTCTCAAGAAATTCCGACGTGGAATACTGAAAACGTGGTTCTTTTCTGCGGATGTGTGTTATTGAAAACAGAGAAAGAGAGGAGCGGGGGAATCGTGAAATTCGTTGGAGGGGAAGAAGACGGCCGCGCACGTGAGGCAAATTTTGATGCCTTCAACTTGTGCTTCGATGAAACTGCGCCACGGCCTGCAATTCGTTCAGTATTTTTTATTTTCTGCTGATTTCCATTAACAACAATGAGGTGTCTTTCGTGTTCTCCTTCTTTCCAACGTGCGTCGATACGTGCGACGGAAAAGAAAAGAAGAAACACGAAGGACAGGAATTCGAGTCGATAGGCATAAAATGTGGGGATCGTCGTTTTGGTGGCGACACTTTTCCGAGTTTTTCGATTCCATCAGCACATGAACTGCTGCAGTAGAATAAGGCAGTGGTTGATGGAAACTATATCGTTTGTCAGTGTTTCAGTTTTGTTGTTGCTGTTGCGAGGATAAATAGGATTTTATCAGATGAGGGCCTGTCTCATATCAGCAGATATACTCTTCAATAACTTGCATCAATTCCTTATCCCGCGAGTATATGAACGTCAATTTAAAAACATTTACCCGTGTTGATTGATGTGAGTGACAATAATAGAGAATCATGTTTGTCGTTATATTCTTTCGTGAATGATAATGGTGACTTTTGAAATGTTGTATGAAAGAGGGTTGGTTCGTATATATGCTGAAGCTGTTTTGAAAATATCAGCGAGTCCAAGTAATTTATTTGCATAGCCCTCTTGATTTTGGCAACTCATCATCTTCAGTGCGGTTCAACATGTTCTTTGCTACTTTCTAATTTTCAATACTTTTTTTTCATTTTTGCAGGTTGACCATGGGGCGTTTGTGGAAGACGAGCGTTTTATTGATTCTCGCCATCCTGGTCCTGACAAAGGGTGAGTTATTTGATGATTCTTGAGAATTTTATTTCATATAATAATAACATGAACAGTTCATTTTGATTGTGAAGTGTGAATGAACTTTGTTTGACTTGAGTGAGTTGATAGGATGCTGAATAACTTGTTGCTGGAGGGAAGGGTTCATTTGCCCAATTATAGTCTAATTCCTTTCGAAACACATCAAGTTGCATTTTTACTGCTTTTCTCTTCCAAGCTGCATGTGTCGAAATAATGAAATCCATCAGAAAATTGAATTTTAATAGGTTTGAGGTTGAGGAATGAAGCCTGTGATAGTACTAATTATTTGGAGGTATTTAATACTTTGCATTCAAGGGAATTCAAACATGCACCAGTGAATTGAAACAATATTCAACAGAGTGGGTATTTCCCTTCGTTATATAGGGAGTTTTGAGATGACAGCAAATAATGTATTCAACTGTATTTTATAATAGCTTATTATGATGAAACCTCATGGAGAATTGGGTGGGAGGAAAAACTGACTCCAGAGGAGGTCTGTTGAGCAAAAACAGACCTCCTCATCCTGTATTCCTTAGGTCCCTTATAGGTGGGGGTTGACTAAGTATATGCTTTTATAATAATCATACTGTATTTTTTGCAGATGATCAGCACAGCCTGAGCAGTTTCGCAATGACCACCAGTGTTCATGCTGCTGCTGATTCCGACTCAAGTATTGTTGGTCCTGATATGCTTGCTTATTCTGGACAACACCATCATGATTCTTCAGCTCGTCGACGAAGATTTAATGCTCAACCCAGACTTACCCTAGATGAAGAGGACGACTTCATGGCTCTCGTGGAGGCGGAACTAAAGTACTTGGGAACACAAAAATTGTACATCACCGCGTGTTACGGCTCTCTTCTGTCACCCAGGTACTGTATATTATTCCTGCCACCAATGAACAAGACACTATATATAAACAGTGTGTAGTGAGAATGCCAATTACACTGACATTCTCACTATACAGCAGTCGAAGTACCCCATTATTAAGAATTCAATGAGGATACACACAATCAATCCACACAACATAAGTGAAACAAAATAACACGTCACAGCATAAATGAGAATCACAGATTTCTGCAGAAGTCAGGAAAAGTGAAGGAGAATATTGTCCTTGAAGATTTCAGGATAGAATGACTATAAATTTGAGTTAATAAGAGCTTTTATCGGCTTTTCGGAATTTTCTGGTCAGGTGAACTGACCATGAAATAATATCCTGAAAATCCTTGCATGTTCCCTGGCCTCTGATTGTCCAAAAAAAGAAAAACCAAATAATTGTTTTCTCCGCAATACCAATGTTGAATTTTCTAAAAAATCCAAAAACATTAAAATTGCATGGGCTGAATCATATAATCTTTTACACTCCATATAGAAGGTTTTGGTATTTTTCTACAGGTTTTTATAAAAATTTTAGATTTTTTGGATGATATGAATGAAAAATTTCCAGTTATTACAGCCAGAGTTATCCACCCATGTCATAAAGTGTTAAAAATGTTAAAGGCGAAACAAGAATTGGCGATGCGGTGTTATTTTGAATGTGCTGAAATATCCTGCATCTTGCAAAACTTTTAGATGTTTTGAATTATTACTTCATCAACAATAATAATGATATTGTCATCATAATAATTGTGAGTCCTTGAACAGGGTAATAATACCCCGTTCTCGAACTGTGTTTCACATGTGAGATCCGCCTGGCAACGCATTGAGTTCAAGCACTGGAATGCATTGTCTGCTGACAGGTCATTCACATGGCTCTGTTTACTTTCTGTTTATTCTATCGCCGCGCGGTCAGTTACCTGTCTTGCGCATACGTTGTCTATATAAAGGAGCATCCAAACACTCCTTTTGGTGCTCATTGCTGGTCTGGACTGTTGTTGTGCATGATCTGAAATATACGTATTTGGGACTAAGAGAAGTTGTCTCATTTGCTTTGCTCTGGCCATAAGATTAATACTTCTCAGCAAAGCTTATTCCAACAAGCAATCATTGGGTTAAGACTTAAAGAGTTTGGGACACAAGAAGACATTCTTGTACAAATCTTATAAGGTTTTATTTACATCCAACAGTTTGGGATAACAAAATTGGCACAGCCATTATTCTTCTTTTTACCCAGAGTGAGTGGTGTTAATAACTGTTTAGAGCAAAAACTTCAAGTGCTTCATTCAAAATTCAAAGTTTTACCAAGCCAACACGCAGTTACCACTCTACGCAACCGCCAGCGCTTGCAAAAAGTGCTGTAGAATATGGTCGCAAAAATTGCAAGTGAGCTGTAACTAAAAGTGCAACTTGTGTGTGGAGGGTTGTGAGCAAAAATGGCCACTGGTACCACTAACGTTTCCCAACTTGACATGTGATGCGTTGTCACTGATGTATACAAGATGGTTGATAGAAAGCTGTTAGATATGGCCCCTTGCAAACAAGCCAAAGTTGCTAAGAAGCAACAGAAGGAATGCAAGGTGGAGATCTTAAAAATTGAGGCCGAATTAGCTAAAACCGATCCCGCGCCAACTGCCAAAGCAAAATTAGGACTTGAGCAAAAGCTCAAAGCGTTAAGGACTCCAGACGGTCCTTTGGAAATAGCAAAGAGCATTGTGGCAAGTCTTGAACCCAATCTGTTGGAGATCAAACTCCATGAAAGGGCCATAGACAACACCCAATTGTTGCTGTTTTCTAAACACCTGAAGGAGGAACTACGCATTAAGAAAAATAACTTTGCTGATGGTATCGGGGTTAGGCAGGCACTCGTGAACCAAAAATTAATGTTAGACCAGATCACCAAACCTAGTGCCAATGAAGTTGTTTTTTATAACATCAAGCATTTACGCAAGGCACAATCCACCACCATGAGTATGCAACAGGCCTTGCAGGCAATGAGCCAAATACCATCTTTTGATGGAACCGGCCCATTAAATTGGCAGGAGTGGTGGGCCACCTTTCAAGGTGCCCTATACAATGGAGTCTACTCTGACGAGAGTATCCGGACAAACTTATTAAGTAAGCTTAAGGGTGAAGCCCAGATTTATGTCACCTCCATACAGGGTTTGACTACGGCTCATTACCAAGTTGTAGTTAAAACTCTGCAGGAGATGTTTGGACGCAAAGTAATTTCAAAATTAATGAAGGAACTGAAGAATATGCGTCAGTACCCAAATGAGTTGGTGCAAACCTTTGGAGCTTGGGTGCGTCGTGCAGGTAACTTCTTATTGGGCAATCCCCCAGGCAAACTAAAAGTAATTTGTAGAGAAAATCAACCGGCAGCGTTGCTCCCTATAATCCTTTTTATGTTAAAGAATGCTATGGGAGTATAACGGAAAAAAAATTTTTTGGATGGTTTTCTGTTGACAACTTTTATGGACGGACTCATACCAGAAGTTGGGGACTCAATTTGTACCACTTTTGAAGATTTTGAGTCAGCCATCACTTACGCAATTTCCGTGAAGGATTGCAAAAGAGATTGCCGAGCCGTTTGTTCTTCATCATTGCATCAATTGTCTTATCATCTGCAAACTCCCCCTGCCAATGGTGGTGTTGGAACCCCTGACATACGCGCATCTACGACTTGTTACGGATGCGGCCAAAAGGGCCATTTTCGCAGTGAGTGTCAAAACGCGAGTTGGGAGTTTGCCAAACCTATGCAGAGGAAGTTTGTGTATCTGGCTCCTGAAAAGGACGGCCGCCCCCCGCGGCTATCTACAGGAGGAGCTAGAGGTTGCTCTGCAATGCACAGAAATACGCGCAGTTGCGGACGTGGACATGGATGAAAAGTGAACTTTGTGAATGAACTGCAAGGCGGCAAAGAATACAACAAGGAGGAGTATGGTGACAATGATGAAGAAGAGTTATTGCCAGAAGGGTATATCAACGATGGTGAACAGTACTTGGGAAACAAGTATTGACCGGAACTTTGACCCTTTCCCCGACAAGGTTACCGGTAATTATTCTACAAACAGACGTCACCCGCTTCCCAGTTAAGTTCTTGATTGATTCTGGTTCTGAAATATCTCTTTTGACTAACAGTGTACTAAAACCAGAAATTACCCCCATGTCCTCAGCAATGACCATTGCTACAATATAGAGGGACGGGAAATGCCTGTCTCAGGGGTTGTGTGTGTAAAATTGTATACTAATTCCATGTATTTAGCCACGGTCTGATTTGTTTTGTTCAAAATACGTGGTCATGAACTTGAGGGAATAGTTGGATCTGATCTTTTAAAACAAATGAAGGCAGAAATTTCATATTCTGACAGATTCCTTTCTTTGAATAAGGTGAAGATAAGATTCTTCACTGAATCAACTAAGGGTCATAAGATCAGAACTGCCATTAGAAAAAATAGATCAGCGCCAGCTATGGTTTTCCGACTGTATTTACAGACTGCTGCGGTCATCCCCAAAAGATCCCAACTACTGTTCTTCACCAAAATATCTGAAAAAATGGAAAAAACTATCAAAGATGAACCAATCCTAGTCTCCAATAGTCTTTGCGGCAACATCATTATAGCCCAAAGTGTCTCTAAGAAACACAAGGGGTATTATCCGGTGATGTGCATGAATCTAGGAGACAAAGATTTCACTATATCCCCCAGAGTAACCCTTACAACGGCCACCATAAACGATTTTGAGATAGTCCCCAAAGTTCAGGTGAATACCATAAAAAATGCCAAAATGACCAAAGCAGTCAAAAATACATTGGAGGGAATTCATGGAAAGTTAGAGGAAAAGGACCTTTCCCAACTAATCGAAGAAAACATCAAACTTTCAGAGTGTCCGGACAAACTGGTAAGCCCCCTATGGAAACTACTCAGACTTTTCAAAAACGTCTTGGCAAAGAAATCCGATCATTTGGGGTTATGCCCGCTGTATATGAGGCCAATATACCTTTAGATACAGAAAAACCTGTTTTTACTTGCCAATACCCTCTTTCTCATATGATGCGTCCTGAGGTGAACGCCTATACTAATGACCTCTTGAGTCACGAGATAGTTTGTCCTTCCAAATCTCCATACAACAGCCCAACCTTAATGGTCAAGAAAAAGGACAGTGGCTGGAGGATGGTTGTTGATTTCAGGTGACTAAATGACCACGTTATCACTGATGCTCACCCTCTCCCATGCATCAACGAGATTTTCAAAGAATTATAGGAAATGCTTGTTTCTTTACAGCCCTAGATTTACTCCATGGTTTCTACAATGTTAAAATCTGAGAAGAGGACTGTTGGAAGACAGTGTTTTCCATGCCCATGGGCCACTACGAATTTATTCAGTTGCCTATGGGTTTAAAGAATAGTCCTTCTATTTTTCAACATTTGATGCACTTGGTGCTTGATGGCTGTCTTGGGATCTACGCCTATATATACGTAAATGACATTGTAATATACTTGAAGACAGCTGACCAGCATCTAGAACATCTCTCTGATATCCTGGTTAGGTTGGACGAAGCTGGCCTCAAGGTCAAATTCTCTAAATGTCAGCTCTTTTGTACTCTGCAGATAGAGTATTTTGGTTTCCTAATCAGCAAGGCTGGGATACGAGTAAACCCGGTCAAGATCAAAGCTATCCAAAACTTTCCTACTCCCAAGGATGTAAAAGGTATCCAAGCTTTCTTAGGTTTGGTTGGGTATTTTTGCTCTTACATTCAAAACTTTGCCCTTAAAGCAAAGCCCCTCTACCTTCTGCTGAAAAAGGAATCCAAATTCAAATGGACTAAACTACAACAAGACGCAGTGGATTGCTTGAAAAAATGTCTCCTCTCAGTACCTATTCTATCTTTCCCAGGTTTCAATTACAAATTCATTCTAACTATGGATGCGTCTGCCATTGCAATTGGAGCTGTTCTTACCCAGAAGCCCAGGAAAAGAGAGGTGCTCATAGGTTGTACTAGCAGTACTTTGAACGATGCAGAATCCAGGTATCCTAATGCTGACCGGGAACTATCAGCAGTCTATTATGGTGTTTCTCAATTCCGTTCCTACCTCTGGGGACATCCTTTTATTATTCGCACAGACCACATTGCTATTCCATATCTAAGTTGGCAACGCCAGAGTGACAGTTGTTGGGCAATCGCCTGGTTTATCACTCTGAACAAATACGAATACAAGGTAGAATACAAAAAGGGTCTTTCAATCCCTCATGCTGATGCCTTGAGCCGATACCCACCTGAAAGTAGGAAAAGTAAACTGTGTGCCTATCTTTCTCCTTCTTTGCTAGAACAGGATCTTATTCAATATGTTTCTAGAGGCGCATTGCAGACGGCAACAGCAGCGGTAAAAAATAAACTCCCCCATAAAGAAGGTTTCCGCCTAACTGAGGGTTTAGTCATGAAATCCACAGAAAAAGGCAAGCAAATATGGGTACCACCATCTCTACAAGAGGAGCTAATATCAAGCTTTCATGACCCTCCTGCAATGGG